AAATAGAGACAAACTCGTAGATAGCAGTGTGATGGCTAAGGGTGGGAAGAAGTGAGGGGGTGGAGAGACTGAGCAAAAAGGACTCATGGACATGGACAACAGTGTGGTGATTGTGGAAGGGAGGGAGACATAAGGGGACTAAATGGTAATGGTAAAAAAATACAATAAAAAAACAAAATGAAACAACAAAAGCAACAAACAAAACAACCAAACAAAAATAACCTGTTCTAAAGAAAGAAAAAGTGTTAATAAATACTTGTATATGACTACATTTAATTATAAGCTTTCATTAGGAATGACTGATCATTTTTAATAATTGTAATTAATAGAACCAATTTCTTCAATTCTAATAATTCAATTTTATATTAAATTCAAGACTTCAAGTGTTTGTCTAGTTCATTCATAAAATCCTCTAAAATTAGTTATCCACCTCAGAGCCTTTCAGTGTATGGACTTTATTAATATCTTACTTCCATTTCCATAGAACAGAACTTTCCCAAATGGTAGAATTATAGATGTCTCAAGATATTTTGTCATCTCATGCTTTGGAAAGGCCAGGCAAGTTGCTTGATCCTGGGATCCTGGGAAGAAGACCCAACCAGATTATCAATTAGTCAATCATAATTAGTGATGCAGCTCTGACCACTGTGACTGAGTTGATTGGGCATTGCCCTGCAAAGTAAAAGGTCATCATTTTGATTCTCAGTCAGAGCATATGCCTGGGTTGTGGGTTTGGTCCCTGTTCAGGGTATGTTCAAGAGGAAGCCGACTGATGTTTCTCTCTCACATTGATGTTTCTCTCCCTTTCTTTCTCTCCCTCCCTTCTCTCTCTAAAAATAAAGTAAATAATCTTAAAAAATAATAGTAACACTTACCCCTCATGGCAGCTGGCTCAATCAAGTTGAATGAATGTCTATCACCTTGATATCTACTTCAGCAACTTGCGGCAAGCATGTCCTTTCCATCACGGGAAAAGGATCTGTGGATCTGCTAGAGGAGTTCCTGTTCTAAGTGCTTAATTAGCATAGCATGCCCACCAAAATTTGGCCACAGGAGGATAGGCAATGAAAAGGTCAGCCATGTATATTTAGGTGGTGGCCCCACTATCTTTTTTCCACACATTAAACAAATGCATATCCATTTGTAGCAAAGTAGGTGCATAGCAACATCTCTAAAAAGCATGTGTGTTTTTCAAGACTTTTAATATGTTGTAATACTTGACATATAAAATTTAAATGAATTTTAAACCTACAGCATCCTTTTATGACATTCCAATGGTAGATTTAGTAAGATAATAAAAGGAAGAGTTGCTATATTGAAAATCAAATGTTTTGATGTCTGTAAAATTGTTTCAAAATATTTATTCCTTATTTCTGCATGTAAGACTTCATTGACAGCAGCTATCAAGAATTTGAAAAGATTATAATTAAAATGGTTTGATTAGAAATGGTATATACACTCTGGCTAGTTGGCTTAGTGGATTGAGTGCTGGCCTGCGAGTCAAAGGGTCACTGGTTTGATTCCCCATCTAGGGCACATGCCTGGGTTGTGGACCAGGTCCCCAGTGGGGGATGTGTGAGAAGCAACCACACATTGATGTTCTCTCCATCTCTTTCTCTCTCCCTTCCCCTCTCTAAAAAATAAATAAAATATTTTAAAAATAAATAAATAAAAATATTTTTAAAAGAAATAGTATATAGGCTTTCAAACATAAAACTTGAGACAAAAGTTATAAGTGTATCCATATTTCTCAATTTAAAGTACTCTATATATTCAATTTTAATATACTTCCCCAAATATTATATTTTATTTTCTCACCAAAATCACTTTATATAAATAAGATATAATGAATTTCTTTACCAAGCCCCATACAAGTGTCCTCAAATTTCCTTCAGTTTACCCCAGCATGCCATACAAGTATTGTCATTTTTTATGTTGGGAAACACTGCTGTAGGTATATTTGCCTCTATATTATGTTCTGTTATCGAATACCTTCTAGTTTAATTAAAGACTAATTAATCACAGATTTGTCTTAATCCAAAGTTACTGTTACAAAGGAAACAGGTAAGTCTGCACAACTGGAAAATGTTAAACCTATGGTATTCCTTCACTTCTCCTGTGCCTCCTGAAAATCTTGGAATATTATTCTGAAGGGCTAGCAAAGTTCTTTTTCTTTTTGAAAAATGGATTTTATTTATTTATTTTTAGATGGGAAGAAAGAGAGGAAGAGAAACATCAATAAATGGTTGCTTCTCACATGCCCTCCAGTGGGGACTGGCACTCAGTCCACTGAGCCACACTAGCCAGGGTAAAAGTTCTTTTTCTTGACCTCAATGGTTACATGGTGTTTACTTTTTGTGATAAATTATTGAGCACATTGTTTTGTGCACTTGTACTTTATTTCGCAGTAACAAAAGGTTTAAAATTTGTTTTTAAGACTAAAGAAGTATGGTGATCTATAGATCTCAGAACATATTCTTACTTCCTGCTTATATTGGCCTTGTTTCTGTTACTCTCAAAGACATGACACTCACTGGATAATTCATAGTAGAAATACAATCTTCTTCAGTTTCTGAATTATCCTGTTTTATATAAAGATTAATCAGATGACTGTAATGCTATTAAAACTAACTTAAGAGTGATAATTGGCTTCTCTATATAAACACTGATGGGCTTGGAAGTTATTACTCTGATCTACACAGCAGAATAGGGCTAGCTACCCCGTTATATGACAAAGTTGTATGGATTCTACATCTATATATACACCCCTAGCAAACATTCATTTTGTCTACATCCCAGAAATTGTGGCAAATACAGTCCATAAGATAAAATTCAGTCAATTTCAGAATAAATTACTGATATATATTGTTTGGATGAAGATATTACCTTCCTACAATAGTTTAACCTATAAAATACATCAACCAAATGTTTATTCCAGGCTTGCATAGTGTTCCATTTAAGACAAATGGTTCATTAATAGGACACCGACCTCATTGCCAACACTCTGCCAAACTGATTTTCTTGAACAGTAATAGGAAAGGAGCAAACCTATTCCAGCTCTAACCTTACCTACCACTATTAAACATTAGTCAAAGTTTCTCTTGCTTTGCTAGCATATAGCATCTGTCTACTGTGAGAATGAAACACCCTAGAGAGCTTGAGGCCACCATTCAGGCTGAGGCATGAAGGGAAAAGAGGGCAGTTCACTCAGCCCTCAGCACTCACACATGTAAATTTTTAGAGCAGACAGAAGAGCTGTCAATCTGAGCCCATTCCACATCTTATGTGAGAGTTACTCACATTATTGTGATACACTTAACTGCATCACATGACTAATTAACACTGGCATTTGTTTTTGTTAAGAAGCATTATGTTTAAAGAAAAGATCATCTCCCACATTTCTGCAAACATGGAGGCAAATGAATAATGAGCACTACTTAGCATCATTCTCCACTAAATGTAGTTTCATTTACTTCCTGCAAAAGATATTGCTTTCTTTCTACACAAGTTAATGTGCCTTCTTCCTAATCTTACCCCTTTTCTTCTCTCTCTCTCTCTCTCTCTCTCTCTCTCTCTCTCTCTCTCTCTCTCTCTCTCTCTAAATAGGCTGCGCCCCCCAGCGTTTGGGAGGTATTTTTTTTTAGGGAAAAAAAAATGTTCGCACATGCGAGTTGATCACCTGCAATTTTACTTTTGGGCTGAGTCCAACACGTTCCCCTGAGTTCCTTGTAGGTAGTCACGATCATGAATCTAAACCACACTTCTCCCTATGTTCAATTTTCTGTTTTCTATTTAAAAGAGGAGAAAGGCACAGAACAAAAGAAACACAGCTTGGTTCTGGCCCGTTGCTGAAGGGCGGCAGTCCTTGGGGCTCCGAAGGAAGGGCAGCGCCTAACCCAAGTGCATTTGGCGCTGTCCATTCCTCGGTGCTGAATACTACTTACCGGGGCTTTCCCCGCCAGGTTCAACCAACCCCTCAGGATCAGAATAGGCTCCAACAATGCAGACTAAACTCATTTTTCTAGCGTGGGGGGTTCATTTACACATTTGCTTATTCTCTTTCCACAGAAGACATCCTTTCACAAAAAGACATTGTGTATTTTATGGGAAAGTAATGGCACAAATTGAGTTTAACACTGAAGTAAAGAGCTCTATTGCAGGAAAAAATGGAAAGTTCGGAGTTAATGAAACCTGCTCTTTCTCTCCTTGAGTCAACACAACAGTATTTGGGTCCCTTGGACCCCCCTCCCCCCATTGATGAATAAAGAAAATAATTTTGTTTTAAAAAATTGTGTGCCTAATCATTTGGGTGATACTGGGCTCTGCAATGTCTGGAATAGAATTTTAGATATTGTTTGCCTGAGATTGAGTCAGAGGAAAGAAAGAAGTAAGTAAACTTGTTAACTGAGGTGGTTTGAATGGGTTAAAGATGGGTTAAAGATTTTTAAAGATGTTGCTCTAAGATTGTCTTCCAGATGTGCTCATTTTCTTAGGCAATTTAGATCAGAATCTGGGGAATAGAACCTTCCCTCCTGCTGCCCTCCAGCCTCTATCCAATTTGAAAGATTTACGAGACCTGCTCTTTAATAGCAGGTGCTGATTGGCGCCCTCAGGGCCATTGTAAGAATTCCTCTCCCTCCTTTCCCCACACAGTAGATAATCAAGTAAATATAAAGAAAACGGACAGGAGGGAGGGAAAGCGTGCTGCACTCCCAGCCTCTGGTTCTTGGTAGTTATATTCAAGTGGGGGCACTTCTCTTTCAGACGTGAAGGTGTTTCTCACAGCTACAGAATTTACGACAGGGACAGAGTTAACTGATCCCAGCAAACGGTTCCTTCCTTTTCATAATCCCTCACTGCTTATTTTAGCCGCTTCTCCACCCCGCCAGGAATACCATCCAGATCTTAGTCCAGGTAGATCTGACGTCAAGAGATGGCTTTCGTAGATTTGACGCGTAAACACTCATTTCCATTCCAGCTGGGAAGGGCTGGGGCTCCACTCAGCCGGGAGACGAAAGAACTGCACTTAGCGCTCGCCAACGCCACCGCCCAGCTTCTCCTCGCGTCCCTCCTATCTCCTCGCAGAGCAACCGGGCGAGAAGTGGTCCAGAGCCCGAGGGTGGAAGGAGTGAATCTTTCTGGCTTTTTTCCTATCTTGCTTCTTTTCCCCTCTGCTTCCCACTTCTGTGCAAGCGAGTGTGTGAGCTATGGAGCGAAGAGCCTGGACTCTGCAGTGCACTGCTTTCGTTCTCTTTTGCACTTGGTGTGCACTGAACAGTGTAAAAGCGAAGAGACAGTTTGTGAACGAATGGGCGGCGGAGATCCCTGGGGGACCAGAAGCAGCCTCGGCCATAGCCGAGGAGCTGGGCTATGACCTTTTGGGTCAGGTAAGAGTTTGCACTTTCAAGAAACTTTCTGGGGCCCTAGGGGACTGGCGGGACTGGAGCACGATCTCCCAAGTGTGAGTTCCAGGTTGCACTCTCCTGAGCCCTGTGGCAAAGAGCAGTAGCTTCTTCAGCTCTCGCGCCAGCAGGCTTGGAGAGAGGTTTGCATTATTTATTGTTTGGGCTGGGCGCAGCCAGGCTGAACGAAGCCGTTGCAGCTGGGTAGAGCTTATTCTTGCTGTTGTCCGCTCTGGAATTGAAATGCGTTCCTGCACGGTTTGAAGAAAAATCCCTCCACGCTTATTCACAGAACTTGAGAGACACGCAGCTGCTACCAACCAGGCGCCCCCAGAGAGGCAGTGTGCGCTCGGTCCTCTGGGACTCAGCTAGTCTGCGTCAGGAGCTGTTTCCTTCTTTTCAATATGGCAGCATCAGACCCACGTCCTGATGGAAGGGGCTAAACAGGCTTGGAGGTGTCGGCTGGAAGCCTTTAGGGGCGCGGCCAGGGCATTGGAAGAGCGCCAACGGCTGGTCCTAGTGACCCAGAGGCTGGGGGTCCTGCGGGGTGGCCTGGGGAGCCGGCAGGAGAAGAGGTGGGTAAAAGACGTAAACCTGGAGCCCCAGGTTGTCACCAAAAACTTGTGAAGTCCAAGCTTCACAACTTTGCTAGGTCAGCGCCCCCGCCCCGGAGGTTCAAACTGCAGAATTGACTGTGAGGAAAGGATTTCTTTCTTTCTTGTTTCTCGGCCAAATGCATAATTGCTTCCCTGGGGGTTTCAGCTCGTGAGGGAAACTATTGCCTCCGAGTGAGGGCTGCATTAATAGACAGCTGGGGGCGAGGCAGGGGCTTTAAGGCATTGACTAGGGGAGGGCTGCTTAGCTGGTGCAATTTCGTGAGAACCCAGGGGTTGTGAGTTCTAATGTAAGTTTTTTTCCTTTTCCTTGGCTTAGAATCAACCTTCACCTCTTGCCTTGGAAGTTGGAGCCGGGGAGAAGGGAGTTGTAAAACATTTTGGCGCGGTTTTTTTTTTTCTTTTTTTCTGGAGGTGGTGGTAGAGACGCGGCTGAAGTCACAGATGAGTAATCTGTGTGGGTGTAGGCTGTGCAATAGATCGAATCCACTGGGGAACGCGCTATCCGTTTGCCAGAGGCTTCATTCTCCAACTTTATGAGCCAAACTGTCTTTGAAATACCCCACAGGAAAGTCAGTACACAGATTGATCTCTGCCTCCCAGAAGATCAAGAATTTTGCTTTTGCGCGGACCTTATTCTTTGCCAGTCCCTGCGTTAAGGGCTGAGGACTAATAGGAGGAAAAGACGCTTTCAAAAAAAAATCAAGAATCTAGAAGAGAGTGGTTTAGAAACAAATGGTTGTAACTGCATGTAATTTGTGTTAGTAATGGCTGTACCTAGAGTCTCAATATTTTTTGATTGAAAGATTGAAGATGGAAGGGAATTGGGAAAGGGTGAAAGAAGCAGTACAAAGGAGGGAACATTGCACAGCGTTTAGGAAGAAGAGTCCAAGGTTGATGGGAGAACATGATGAAATTGGAGAAGGCACTCCAGTTATAGAAAGCAGCTTGTGGGAAACAGGGAGATATAAAGACGGCTGCCCAGTAGTAATTTGGAAACTGAAAGGAATTGTGAGTATCTAATGAAGAGAGTGTATAGTGGATGGAATCGTACTGGAGTGTGCTGTGGGCATCATGGAAATCTATTGTGCCCCATGGAGGTGGGGAGGAACTAGGGACTTAATCCTGTATCCTTTGAACAGCTAAATAACACTGGAAACTGTGGAAGGAGATTGTGGGAGAGATCAAAAGGTAAATCCCACTTCCTTTTCTCTCCTATTAGCCCCAGGCATATATCAAACCTGGACCATTCATTATGGGAATTGCCTTTCAAACTGTAAGTCTACAAACTAAAAAACAATAAGCCAGTATTCTTGGTAGAATCTTCCAGGAAGGGATGACATAGTCGCAGGCTTTATTTACACATCATTTGCATATGCTAATTTTTCTCTAGGCATTTCCATTTTAAATGGCATTACTAACAAACATTTTGAAAATAACATTTTTTAATTAAAAAAAACTAGGAATGCTGTCCTGGTTCTGCTTATTTCTCCTTTTGTTCACACTAATTTAGCATCACTATACTGAGCTTTGTAAGGCCTCAGGATAAAGCTAGAATGGGGGGGGGATGAAAACCAGTTTGATCGAAGGAACAAAGCTAAGCACTGGTGATCTTTTTTATAACTAGTGGTTTTTTTTCCTCCCCAACTCAGTCAAGACTTACAACAGATTTACTCCCTGAGGGCCAGGCTTTGAGCAGGGCCTAGGGATCTCTATTTAAGAATTCTCTAGGTGATGAGAACCACCAATTTAAAGAATATAATTCTTCAGAAACAACCCATTGTCAATTATTTATCTTTTAATTTAAAAAGAAATACAGGGCTTCAAATTAAGTACTATTTTGATAGAGACACTAGCTTAAAAGAATAACAAATATAGTTCTAAATGAACCAAAGGTGTTGATAGTCATCCAGGAAAGGTTTGTTTTATTGTTGTTGTTTTTTTAATTGAGTGAGTGAGTGAGAGAGAGAGAGATGGAAACATTGATTTGTTATTCTACTTATCTGTGCCCTGACTGGGCATGGAACCCATAACCTTGGCATATTGGGATGATGTTCTAACCAACTAAGCTACCAGCCAGGGCTATGCAGGGAAGTTTACACCTGTCCTAAATGTGGCATGCTGGTTTTTCCCCCAAAGCCTTAACTGGTGGAAAGTCTAATGGTCACTGCCGGTAGCTTGTAAGAATTATCACTATGGATTCAATGATTATATTTTATAACAACAACAAAATGTTTTATCTGAATGTGGTCCTGATCATTAGTACCCAAAGGGTTTGCCTGCTTTCTGCAAATTAGTGTTCTCTGGAAGAATGAATTTGATAAAATTGGCTTTTAAAAAAGAAATGTCTACCCATACAATATTGTCACATAGAAAAACAAGTGGAGTTCCTCTGAAATTTGTGAAACAGAAGCACTGCCAGCCCCCAAGGATAGTGGGAGCCCAATGGTAATTTCATGAGGTTCATCTCCCTCAACACACTAACAAGAGAACAATGGCTTCTATCAGTATCTTCCTCATGAGGAAAATACTTAACTTCAAGTGAAAGTAATGGGCTTGATAAAGCTGTCTCTAATTTAGCTGGGTTTCAATCTAACCCATATATACTTATTTTGAAAAGTAGATTTTAATTTTAATTTTTTTCTTTTATAGATTGGATCACTTGAAAATCATTACTTATTCAGACATAAAAACCATCCCAGGAGGTCTCGAAGGAGCGCCCTTCATATCACTAAGAGATTATCTGATGATGACCGTGTAAGTGTTATGCAGTGTCTTCAAACCCACCTGACTAATCTGCTTTCTCCAAGGCTGCTGGCAAGAGCAAGAGCACTTCACAAATGTGATTCTTCTTTTTGTGATCACAATTATTTATCTGTAGTGTTTCTTGTTATTTCCATAAGGTTATAAATGCACATAATAACCAGATTGGATTGAATTGGTTAGATTAACTAAAATTACATGTATAAATAACACCAGCTCACAAATCCAGTCTAAGGGCATGAAAGTAAATATTGAAAATAAAGTGGCAGCACCAATTAAAATATTTGACAATACAATCAATCAATGACCTTTTATTTTATGCCTGTTATGTACCAAGCACTTCAGTATCTGATGTGTGGATGCCAAAGAAGTATAATATATGAACCCTGCTTTTAATAATATTTCACTGTAATTGAAAACAACATTCTGCTATTTCTATTTAGTTTGGTTGTATAGGAAACCAGTGTTTATAAGGGAGCTTTAAATCCACGTCTTCAAAAGAAGGATGTTTTCATAAGTATTTTGTTGTTTGATCCAAAACATTTGATCTCTTTTTTATCCTGGTTTGAATACATATTCAATAATTAGGCAACAGCAGAATATTTCTAGAATGAATATAGGTAAATAATGTGGGAGCAATTTGAATGTATGTATAATATATTTATTGATTTTTGAAGTCTGTTTTTAAGGTTAGCAGACATCAATGGAAATGTTGATTATACTGGAAGTATTGCAATTTGCATAACAATGTTGCCTTGTCTAGAAAATGTGCATACTGATGGAATTTATCCTGGCTGGCCTGATATCTGTATACATGATTTATTTTTTATTAAGATTTTATGTATTTATTTTTAGAAAGGGAGAAGGGAGGCAGAGAGAGGGAGAGAAACATCAACTGAGCTGCCTCTCGCAGACTCACAACTGGGATCCTGGCCTGCAACCCAAGCAAGTGCCCTGACTAAGAATCCACTTAGCAACATTTTGGTTTGTGGCACAATGTCCAACCCACTGAGCCACACCAGTCAGGGCCTGAATACATGATTTCTGTTGCTTGGGACAGTCTAGAGAATTATAGAAGCTTTGTAAGAGATAAAACACAACCTTTCAACTTCCCAGAAAGTAAAGAATTAAGTGAAAGAAAGGTATTAGAACTATTGAAATTTGTGGAATTGAAAATCTGTGAAATAATTTGCTATTTCATTTGTTCTGCAAGTATAGAATTTAAAAAAATAATAAGAGATTATGAGGGTAGGGAATGACCAGATATGCATTAATACTGTTCAAATGTGAAAAAATCAATCAGACCTGGCTGATATGGCTCAGTGGATTGAACACTGGCCTATGAACCGAAGGGTCACTGGTTCAAATCCCAGTCAGGGCACATGCCTGGGTTGCAAGCCAGGTCCCCAGTTGTGGATGTGCGAGAGGCAACCAATCTATATTTTTTTTGGCACATCAATGTTTCTCTCCTTCTCTTTCTCCCTCCCTTCCCCTCTCTCCAGAAATAAATAAAATATTAAAAAAAGAAGATACTATACCTAGACAAAGAATGATGTCTCAGGACAATAAACAGTGACCTACATCTCATATACACTCATTGCTTGCTTTTACTCAAGTAAATAGCTAGGTGCAGGAGACCAAATCGGAATCCCAAAACACTACTTTAAAAGGTGCTGGTGCAGTGAAGTCTTTCCTTCACCATCCCAAGGCAGATGGTTTATTATCTGTGGGCTCTGAAAAGGAGGCTAACTTCCAGGATTCTGGCTAGGTTTAGTCCTTGGGCAAAAACCAGAGATTTCCTCATTTACTAAATGTATGCCTGACATTAGTGCACAAGGAATCAAACTGACCTCCCTTCTTATCTTCATAGAGCAAAACTGGACAGAGTGGAGCATACATAACTATTGTTACTACTCAAACTAATCACACTAAAATGAACAGATGCCTCAGTTCTTTAGATATTTCCTTAATAGTGTATTTTGGGGAGAAATCTCAAGGAATAATGAAGAAGAGCTAAGAATTTACTCTCTAACATAACTTTATAAGAAAAGAAGTCTGTAAGATCCTATAAAATTATCTGCAGAATAAATTAATTGTAGGAAAAAATCCTAGAACCCATAGAAGCTTGAGTGGAATGTTGGACTAGGTGATCTTTAGTGGTCTTTCCAAATCAAAAGGATTATTTACAATTAAGTACATTATACCTATTATATACATAATAGAAAGATACCACCAATCTCTTCTGTTCCATTTGGCCTGCTCTCATAGAGATTAATGTGGGATTCAGAGTGAATGACACTGATTACAACACTGTATCCAACAATTGGATGTTTATGTGATCAGGAGGCAGAGTGCCTCTTCTTATATTCCACTTTTAAAAATTGCTTTTGATTGTCATTTTATTGGCTCTATTAATGGTGATAACATCCTTCAAATTAGCCCTCTGAAATGGAGCAATCCTCCATCTTTACAAGACCATTAATGAAATCTCCACCTGTAAGTTAATCTTTTCCTCAAAAATCAGTACTTGTTCCATAGCAGCCCACTTTCAAAGACTGACTCAGATACAGGCAGTGTACTCCAAGCATTGGGTATTTTAAGCCAAAACAATTAAGCTTGAAAATACAAGCACTTTAAAAATAAATTATAGTGACTAATTTCTAGCTCTCAAGTCCCTCTAATATTTAAAATAGGTTTGCAGTGTTTTTCTAATTGAAAATTCAGTGCTAGTGGGTGGTTTTATCCTTTAATTGCAAATTATTTTTCAGTTTTTATCTTTGCATCTGATTCATAAACATCCTCACATTGACAATACTCTACCATACACTGGGCTGTCCTCATGTATTAGGGTAGGAGACAGTCATATTGCCCAGCAAAATAAGAGCAGGGTATTATCTCATAATGAATATAACCACAAGGCAGCCCCTCAGCCTCTCAGGACCTTAAGTATAATAGGATTATGCCGTAAATGTGGGGCAGGTAATTTTTGTACTGTCAGATCTCTGTGCATAATACATGAGGCTAAATTAATGGTAAGCATGCATGGCCAGTAGTGCTCATTTATCACCCTGGATCTGTTTCTTATATTAAATACTCTTAAGCAGGAGGTTGAAGCACAGGTGAGCCAGGGTTTCAGATCTGCAAAGACATAGCACCTTTCCGGTCTTGTGTAACATTTGCAATTTCTACCTTTTGTGCATAAAGAAGGAGAAATTAAGCTGTAAGAGCAACATAACAACAGTCTCAGGGATCTCTTAGCTTGTTGACTCCTTCCATGAAAATGGACAAATTTGCAGCCACAGAGCCATGGAACCTCAATATAAAAAATGGGTATTATGGTCCATTTGCTGATGAAAGCAGGCAGAACTTTTGTTTCCACTGTAATCACGGTGCAAATAATTAGAGGTGATCATCAGTTCACTGATTCCTCTCCTCCCCCTAAAGGTACACTTTACTGTAATAGAGGAAATGTTCATCTCCCCAGTGGTCAATCCCTTCTCACTGAGCTGTCAGGGTGATCTGTAGTTAAACAAAAACTTTGTGAAGCTGCCTGAATTCTGATGGGAAAGGTACTGGAGGAAAGATAATTACACGGAAGTGGCTACTTGACTGTTGATTTTTCTTGCTACAAAACTTCTTGTAGGTGATATGGGTTGAACAACAGTATGAAAAAGAGAGAAGTAAACGTTCCGTTCTGAGAGACTCAGCACTACATCTCTTCAATGATCCCATGTGGAATCAGCAGTGGTACTTGGTAAGTCCCTACAGAAGAACCATGTAGGACCCTGGCAATTTATTTTGCTACATCTATACAATAGATAGTTTGTTTTTTAATGATGGAAAATTTAGCAGAGGGCTATGTTACTTGAAGATTTGGGCTGTTGGTACATTCCAGGATCTGGATATTCTCTTTTACCAGGTGAGAATGTCTGAAACACAGATCTTCAGCTGCTGTGAGAGGAGGGGTTGTTGCCTGCTTGTCTTCTTCTTTTTTTTTTTTCTAAAGATTTTATTTATTTATTTTTAGTGAGAGGGAAAGGGAGGGAAAAAGAGAGGGAGAAAAATATCATCAATGTGAGAGATAAACATCTATCAGTTGCCTCTTGTATGCACCTTAACCAGGGACCAAACCCCACAACCCAGACATGTGCCCTGACTGAGAATCCAACTGGTGATATTTTGCTTCATGGGACAATACCCAGCAAACTGAACCACACCAGTCAGGGCTGACTTCTTTTCTTCTTAAGCTTACCTGGAGTAAGTGCAGAAGGATCATGTCTTGCAAGTTAGGGATTCCAAAACAGTATTCATGTCAAAAATCACATTTGGTCAGAACCCTTTAAATCACCCAAAGAATACAGTAAACATGATTCAGTATATAAACCTCTGAGTGTCAATTCTTATAGGCTTACAGGTAAGAATTTCTTAACAAGGCTAAAGCAATGAACACAAGGAAAGACAAAAAATATTTGCAGATGTTCACACTTGCATACCATTCTACCTTTAAGATAGTTACCAAATCCTTATTGGAAGGTGGGTTTTGAGTGGAAAAATTGTAAGTGTTCCTGCTTGCCTGCAAAGTATTCTCCCTTCTGTTTTAATGTAAAGCCTCTATATTAGTAATATATGTTAATAAAAGTTTTGAGAATATTAAAAAAGATAAATTTTGATGACAACCATAAGCTAAGTTACGTTTGTTGCATAATGGATGGGGAAGGGGATCCATTCCTTTTAACTTTGTTTTTTTTTTAATGTTTTATTTTTTATTGTATTTTCCATTATGATTTATCCTCCTGATATTCCCCTCCCCCTACATGCACCACATCGTTGTCCATGTCCATGAATCCTTTTTTCTTTTTGCTGAATCCCTCCACTCCCTAACCTCCCACCCCAAGAACTATCACCCAGCTCTGTATCTATGAGTCTGTCTCTATTTTGCTTGTTAGTTCCATTTATTCATCAGATTCCACACAAAAGTGAAATCATATGGTATTTGTCTTTCTCTAACTGGCTTATTTCACTTAGCATAATATTCTCCAGGTCCATCCGTGCTGTCGCAAAGCATAAAACTTTCTTCTTTTTTATGGCCAAGTAGTATTCCATTTAACCTAAGCATTACTTGCTCATTGCAGAAGAGACTCATTAGCTAAGAGCTGTGCATTTACAGTGTGCCAAATACTATTCTAAGTCTTTGACATGCATTAACTTAATTCTTACAAAATTACATTGTAGATATTGCAATTATGCCCATTTAACAGATGAAGAAACAGACACATTGGTGAGTTGAAACACTTGCCAAAATCACATGGTTACTAGTGGTGGGGTCATAATTCATAGCTCCAGAGGCCCTATTCTTAACAACCACATTTTATGATTGTTCCTGTGGCTAACATAGAGGTCTACTTCCCTGGCTTTATTCAACAATCTGTATGTAGTTCCAACCTCCTATAATTCAGCTTCATTTTGGTTAGTAAGGTGTTATTTCCCCCCACCTGTCTCTGAAGAACATCAGCCAGAGGGCAGTCTGTTCACTGACACTTTTAACTGTTGTTATTTATCAATTCCTTATTGATCCCAGAAACCTGGCTCTCTTCTAATGCATCTCTCTCAGATGCTTCTCCTACTTGCATTCCCTTGCTGTGCAGCTTTTCTCCCCTGCGGCCCCACGTGCTGTAACTATCGGAAATGCTGTTGGAAAAAGAAAACCCCAAAACTCCTCTCACAGATACTTGCTCTCTAAACCACTCATATTTGTAAATAGGCAATTAAAGTGCAAGTCCTAGTGAGACCACAACCTCCTGGGCATTCCAGGTTCTGCTTTTTCTTTCAGAAAAGTTATTTAAAAAATCCACAAATGACTGTGAACCAGACAATATAAAGTAGGTTTATTGTGGCAACAGAGGCTTAGGATTTGGGGGTGGGAGGGAGGCGGTGGGAAATGGAAACATAGAATATCCAGTAAAGCTTAGGTAGATGAAATGCTCAAGCATGTCATTATAAATGAAAGAAACTTGGGGACAAACTGCTTCTTTGAAGCCATGTAGCTCAAAGAGAAGGGACAAGGGTGATTCATTCTTTTGAGTGATTTTCCATTGGAACGACTGGGGAAAGAGCAGCTCTCTGATGATTCACTTGGCCCTACCCTCAACTTTGTTTTTATTTCATTTAATTCCTTCTTCTAAAGAGGAGAGTGACCCTAGGAAAAAGAAAGATGGATCCCCAGACTGTGGCTTCAGTTCTCATTTTGCAGCAAGTTGATTACAATTTTACCAATGCTTCTTTGTTTTCCTTTACCAGCAAGATACCAGGATGACTGCATCCCTGCCCAAGCTGGATCTCCATGTGATACCTGTTTGGCAAAAAGGCATCACAGGCAAAGGAGTTGTTATCACTGTACTGGATGATGGCTTGGAGTGGAATCACACAGACATCTATGCCAATTATGTGAGTCTGGGCCCTCCCATTACTTGCAACTTAAGTAGTTGTCTACACAGACACACGGTTCAGGCTTTCCTTTCCTCAAGCGGAAGGCTGCTCAAATGTTGGCCCATAGAATGATGGACAAAGGTATTGCCACTTTGCTCACCTCCCCACCAGCCCATATGAACTCATTGTATCAGGGAGCATTGAAAGAATTTAGTAGAGCTAAAGACTGTACAAAAACATGTGCACTGGTGGTGGGAAAAGGCATTTACACCAACTAAATGATTAAAAGCCATTCAGACTCTCTGCTACTCAGTATTGGTGGCATGAAAGCAAACAAATCAAGTCTGATGCCTGAGATCTTTTTACAGTCTTCCTCCTCACACCCCTATGGGTCAGTACATCTCACTCTGTGAAGTTACGCGAATGTGATTCCTTACATGAAAATTCAAAGTGTGCAATGAACAGTGCCAAAATGACAAGCTAAGAAAAGAAAACCTTATTAAAAATGGGTAATAAGTAAATGAAAAGGATTCACTTAATTGTTTTTTGAAGCTCTCCATAATATCTTGGGCTTTTATTTAGATCAGTATTTCATCTTTAAGACTGTCCCTTGTCTTTCTCTCATCCTTTCCACTCATCCACATTCTGCAGCTGAAGAGTAAAGGGGAAAGGAAGGAAAAGAAGAGATAAAGAGTAGGAAGTATTAAAAGGTATGGAAAATACAGAGAAGTGGCAGTAGCAGTGATAGAATTCCTATGTGGGAGATGTTTTGGTGTAGCAATATCGTTGGAAAAGGGGATGGAGCCTGGAAGCTTGTTTAAAATGTTAAGCACACCCTCTTTAATTAAATTGCAAGTTTATTTAGTATAACTGGGGATGCTGAAAGAGATCATTGTGGACCTAAGCCACCTCTTTGCTGTACATTCATAAGAGACAAGGGTGTCAAAGTGTTGCTAACGAGTTCTGTAGCTTGGTTAAGTCATTCGACTTCTTTGAACCTCAATTTTCTCATTTGAGACATGATGTGGTTGAATTAACCTAATTGATTCCTCTAGTTTTAACATCCTACGAGCTTCTATGAGCTATTGGTTTGGTGACATTCACTGAGAATTAGATGCTGGCTCACTTTTCTGTCTCTGCCTGGTTTATGGGCATAATAAATGATCAGCCATGGCACCAGAAACTCTGACATGCAGACTTTCAAGCTCTCAGCCCGGATGAAAATAGGATAGGGTAGGAGGCTTGGGAAGTACTGTTTTATTTTTGTGATGCTGTAGTGTTATTTTCATTGTCTCTTTAGGATCCAGAGGCTAGCTATGATTTTAATGATAACGACCATGATCCATTTCCCCGATATGATCCTACAAATGAGAACAAGTGAGTAAACGTGGACTGGGAGAAGGGGGTTAATACTTGGAAATGCTTTTATCTTATTTGAGCTCTCAGAAATGTCCATGCACACCATGCACACCATATTCTGTAGCTTTTAAAACAGAAACCAAACTTCTCTTTTTATATTCTTTTTGGCTTATAGAACCATATTTCAATTAGACTTTCTTTTATATTATAAAACACTCCCCTCAAATGTTACCAAATAGTTACAGCTTTAGAAAGAAAGTTTGGGACATAAAGATTAAAAACCTTCAGTACACCCCCTTGCCCTCCAAATCTGCTATGAGCTTTCTGCTATTAGCAACATGTTTGATGTTAGTCATGAAAAGAAACAGAGATGCCCAAGGTAACAGATTCCCTCAACTTCCTATGGCAGCCATAGCCATGCTCACCAGTTTTGGTAGAAGAGCATGGCTTGACACCAGGCGAGAGAAAGGTACTCTGAGGCCTGGCTCTCAATTTCAACAGAGTCTCTGGGGCATTGGACTAGTTAGCAACCTGTTCCAGAGCCCCTGCTGGGTACTCTAACATTAAAAGGAAGAAAGGGAGGATGACTTCTGACTCCTAAATTAATTCTCTGTAGCAGCCACAGGATGATGAAGGAAGCCAAGAGCCAGACCTGCCAAAGCAAGTGGCCAAATAAAGACCCAGAGGCAGAACCATTTAACCTTTCCTAAGTCCAAAGATGCTCCGTCCTGTAGGTACAAGCATGCGGCCTCAGGTCTCTGTGTCCACCTGCAGCTCATCTTTGTGAGCAGTGGCATATCTCAGACTTCAAGGAGACATTCACTCTTCCCTCTTCATTCACTCCACCCAGAAAAGACTTATGCCAAGACAGATCAAAGCCAAGAAAAAATTAGGGTTTACTGCTTACAAGTGGGGGTGGAAACAGCAAGCAACAAGAAGCTCTTTGTGGATGCCACACACACTGCTTCCCTTTGCTCTCTCTATGGCTTTGTCTCTCTTGGACTATGACCCAACTCAGGCCAATCAAGTTCTCTCTCTCTCCCCCACCCACCACTCTTTCCCTCTCCTTTATTCCCTCTCCCTTATTCTCTCTTTCTCTCAGAATTCCCATGTGGCTGATGCCATAATTGACCTAAAGTTGTTTCTTAGATGGTCCCCCCTCCAGAAGGCCAACAAACCCCAGGAAGGGCAGCTGGGCTCATGGACTTGGCTTTAACTTCTGGGTGTATATTTCTTCCTTGGAGAGAAGAGGAGGCTTGGAGAAGGTTCCAAAATACTGCTTCTTTCAGTACCACTGACTTTTCTAGGGTTTATTTCTTAAAGGGGTTAACTGCAAACGCCCAGTAGAGGTTGGAACATTCTAGTAACAGTATAATAAGAATGGTGACAGAGAGCCCTTGGAAGAAAGTAGGATGTCTAAGGAACTTAGAGCATGGTCCCCAGATAAACTTTCAGCTGTGTCTGAGTCAGGGTGGTGCACCAGGAGCAAGGGCAGCTCTTTTGGAACGCAGCCCTGTGGTGTCAGCCTGGCTAGCGGTCACAGCTTTGTGGATTACCAGCATAGAGAGTGTTGTGAGGACATCACCTCTCTCTGTTTCTATTTTTTATTTGTTTTTTAAAGTGGGTGACAAGGCATCCATTTCCTACTTTCCTGGAAGGAACTTCCTAAGAAAATGGCAACAAGTGCTTGAAAGAAAGGGGCACCCTTCTTGGAATTAAGTAAAAATGACAACCCTCACCTCACCACCTTGGACAAGAGTAAGAGGGAACATGCTTGCAGCCACATGGGTGCAGCGGAGGAGACTGTTAGCTGGAGGCGTCAGCCCCTGGATCCAACGTGGGTGACGGCTGCCTGATAGGTGGATATCTAGTAAACTGATGTTCTCCAGTATTACTCATGAGAAAGGGGACTCAGATTTCCCTCTTTCTCTCCCAAAAGGGGAAATCTCATATTACAGTATTATAATAAATACAGTGTTTATAATATTGGGTTGGCCAAAAAGTCAATTTCGTTTTTTCCATAAAATAAAGGACACATTTTCCATTTTCACCAATAACTTTATTGATTTGGATATTTTGAATATGTCAGCTACCTCCCACATGGTATAATGTTGATTGTCCTCAGTTAATATCTTGATTTGATTGCTGTCAACTTCTACTGGTCTACCCCACCATGGAGCATTGTCCAATGAGAAATTTCCAGCATGAAACTTTGCAAACCACTTTTGACACATTCTATCAGTCACAGAACCTTTTCTGTACAGTGTACAAATCCTTGTTTGTGTTTCAGTTGCATTTTTACCTTTCTTGAAATAATAAAGCATAATATGTCCAAAATGTTGCATATTTTTCCATCTTCAATACTGAAATGGCTAGACAAAAATTCACCAATTTTGTTGTCTTTTTAAAATGCATGCTGATATGACAGCTGTCACAATATGATCTAACAAAATTGTTTCAAATGAAGTTAAAGACAGCTAAGCGATATACAGCCATCTTATGGGGAAAAAACAAATGTACTTTTTGGCCAGTTCAATATAATTCTTCAAACTCACAGAGCTCCAAAGACCCCTAAGAAAGCAGCCTATGTAATTGTGCTTATTTTGTGCCTGAAAATTCTGGGCTTCAGAGCAGAGCCTGCCATGGATCACCACAAAATATAGAGCTAGTATGGAGTAGACAGTTAAGAGTACAGACTTTGCAGCTAGATTTAGATCAAACATTAGATTTGGCACTTAAAAGGTAAGTGACTTTGAGCAAATTATTTAACTTCTTTGTGCCTCAGTCTTATCATCTATGAAAAAGGGATAATAAACAGTATCTATTTCATTGGGTTGTTATGGGGGCTAAATGAATTAATATATGTAATTGGTTTGGGTAGTTCCTGCTACATAAAAAAAGTTAAGTGTTTGCTATAATGATGATGACTACGATGATGATGACAACAACAATGATGATGATGATGATGATCACCAAGCCTTCTTATTAACAACTAAGGTAGACCTCTTCTCAGTGAAAAATCAGCATGACAAGAATTATACCATGCAATAGATAGGAGCAGAAACTGAGACAAGTCAGTTTTCTTAGCCAGTTCAGAATCTGCTCTCTGAAAATTACACGATAAGCAAGTATCTCTCAGGGTCCTCCTGACTATCAAGCAAAAACGTAGTAACCGCTTCATCATTTAGCAAAGGTATTATAAAAAAATAGAACTATCCTTCAAGCATGTTGTCAGAAATCCCTCAGATTTGGAAAGTGAATGGCCCCATTTTATCTAGCCTTATAACAGATACCTATTGTCTCCAAACCCCAGGGCGTTATTGCTCTGAACTGCCTGTGTTGCTGCTGTTCTTTATTACTATATAAATGAGATTAATAGAAGCTGCACTTGAGATCTCCTCTGCAAATCAAAAGAGGAATCACTAAATAATAAAATCTTAAAAGTGCAGGTAACTCTTACTATTAGGCTGGCATGAATCTGTATTCAGTATTTCAATACCAATTACAGATTATTTTTCTAGTTAAATAATATGTGTGACAAGGATATTTTAACCAGTATAATAGTAGTCTTTAAACTATCTTGTGGAATAATTTTCTAAAAATCATTATGTTTAAATGCCGGTTACTACCATTGTTCTAAGATGATAGAGGGTTATTTTATCTCAGAGCCTGATTTAAGGAAAGCAAAGAAAGCTACAGGTCTATAAAGAATGACAGAGAACCACTCTGATAAAGTCTTCCTTCTTCCCAAGGCAGGAACTGAGGAAAAGAGGAGGAAAAATATCATCCTCTATTTGTAGCATGTTCCCACCACACCTTTCAAGAAAATAGCCCTCAGTATATAAAGCGAGATAAGTAATAGGTCAAGTCACATTGCTTCACTTTTAGGACAGAAGTACAATGCTGGGGATGTTTTCCAACAGGTTGATTCTGTTGGCTCATCCTAGAGGTTTTGTGCCCTGGGTCCTGTGTCCCATACTATTTAAATGTAAATAGAGGCATTGGTGGCTTTTGGGAGTACATTTCCCAGAGGGTGGCAACTGAATTTCTCCTGGAAGGGCAAAGAAGGCTAATCCATCAAAGAACTTTCCTTCTATGTATTCATTGTGAACACATTCCTTAGAAAATGGGTGTATTAGTCAGGATAGCTTCAGTTCCAAGTGAGAAAATCCAGCAAAGTTAAGTAATTTGGGGATTACAAACAAACAAACAAACAAACAAACAAACAAACAAACAAACAAAAACTTTCAGCCTTGGTCAGGTGGCTCAGTTGGTTGGAGTATCATCCTGTAGACCAAGAGATTGCAGGTTTGATTCCTGGTCAGGTTGCAGGTTTGACCCCTGTTAGGGTGTGTATGAGAAGGCAACCGATCACTATTTCTCTCTTCCATTTTCCTTCCTTCCTTCCTTCCTTCCTTCCTTCCTTCCCTTTCCTTCCTTTCTTTTCCCTTTCTTTCTCTCTCTCTCTCTCTCTCTCAAAGCAGTTAAAACATGTCCTCAGATGAGGATAAAAAAAAAAAAGGTTCACTCAAGAGAGGCTCTAGCTTCAGAAGCACTGTAAAATCCAGGAGCTCAGTAATATGCCATCAAGACACCAAAGACTCTGTCTCCAGCTCCTAGTGCTGCTTTCTGTAACTTAGCTTCATTCTCAGTAGAATCTTATCTGGCAACAAGATCATATGGCTCAGATGGAGCTTAAAAGCTGAAGATTCTGGAGAAAGAATATAAATCGCTTCCCCAGAATCTGCATTAATCCTTGAAAGCTACCTGGGAGAAGGAGCCTCCTGATAGAAAGGATCACAAGGAGTGAGGGGGGACTGCTTCCCAAAAGGGGAAAATTCTAGGAAACAAAAAAGAAATAGATGTTCGCTGTACTAGGAAAGACCTTGAGAATTAAAGATAATTATATCATTTGACTCAGGATCCTATCCAATATTTGGAAGAAGCAGGAATATCATTTAGTGGGAAATCATCTTTGGTACTTCAGGAAAACCAGATAAGCGAAACAATTCTTTTAGATCACCCAATTAATTTTGGATTTTTATATTCCTTACCAGGCTAAATTAATATATGGCTAGAGTCTTAGGTTCTAAAGGCAGCTGGCCGACAGAGTTGCTCCGTGCTAACCCTTCTTCTCTTCTCCTCTGTGTCAGCAGGTCTGGGGAACAGCTCCTCCAATGCCCCAACAGCCTTCACCATGCTCCCAGGGCCTTGCACAATGCAATATGGTCATAAAATAAATAGATTTACATTAACGTTCTCTTGATTTACAGGCCCTCCTGGGGTCAGAGTGGTGGTGGAAAAAGCAATTTATTATCCCCAGAATTTCAGAATTTATGCTTTAACAGTGGGCTTTGGTCTGTTTTAGAGATGGATTTTTTTTCCTTTAAATACTCTGAAATCATGAATTACCCTTTTTGCCTGATTGCAAACCCAGTCTTGTTCACGCCTCTGGTCCCAATCAGAGTTTTCCAATTAGTCTGTAGTGTCTTCTAAATATCTCATACTCCTCTTGGTACCAGAAAATCTGCAAATGTTTTGGTTTGGTGTATGAATAGAGGAGAGGAGGACATCTGGAGAGGGGACTCTGCTCTAGCACATCCTCCTAGAGCTGGTCCAGGATAACCTAGTCCAAGGAAGTCCCTAGTGGGGGGAAATGAGAAGCCACTTCACTACCAGAAGGTATGGAGCAGAGCCATCTATTTGGAAACGATTTCTGAAAGTGTCAGAGTTGCTCATAATACTACCCATAGCTAACACACACTGGGTTCTTACCATATACCAACCACTGTTCTAAGTACCCCACACACAGTATCACATGCGATATCACAACCCTTTGAGGACACTTACCCAAGGTCACACCACTAGTTAGTGTCAGACACTAGAATTTGAACACAAGTACTCTGGCTCCCATACTTGTGCCCTTCATATGATACCCACACTTCATCTAATGCTGATGGGAAGAAACCAGAAAAAAGGCAGATGGAAAGCTAATGTGTCCATGTACCATGGATTCATATGCAAAACCAATGTGTGCCTTCATTTATGTTTTGTAATTCCTAATTTTTAATCCTCAGACATGGGACCAGATGTGCAGGAGAAATTGCCATGCAAGCAAATAATCACAAGTGTGGGGTCGGAGTTGCATATAATTCCAAAGTCGGAGGTAAAGCACTTTTAATGTGAATCTTGCATCACTTGGTGTAAATGAGGTGCCCTTTCAACAACCAGAAGAAGAACGGACTCTATGAGAAGTTTGGAGTATGGCTTCAGTATGAATTGCAAATGAATCAATGGATCTGGAATCCTAGAAAATAACTGAAGATAACCTATACAAATGGGGGAGGGGTGTGTGGAAATGCTGAGTAGCTTTGAAACCAAATCTAATTTTCTCTGTGCTCTGATTTAGAAGGATTTGTTTTTGAGTGCCTGCTCAGGGAACAGAAGGAGGAGGTAAATATAGGCAAAGAATTTCCTGGCCTCTCAATTCTGCTGTTCTTCATTTCATAGAAAAGAACAGTTTTTTAAAAGGAAAAGAATTACATACTTGTTATATTAAGAAGCCAAAGGTTATCTTCAATAGCAAGAATTTAGAATCTTGAGTTGTTTCAGTTGGTGTCTTTATGGGGAAACATATGGTAAGTTCCATCAGGACAATTAGATTAAAAAAAAAACTATTTATAAGAGTTCCAAGGAAACCAACAAGGGCTAACAAATGTAGACAGATGTTACCACCTTTAGGCCTATAGGAGCAACAGGGAGGCATCAGTGGAAACTGGAGAGAGAGAGAGCTGCGGCCACAGAGGGAATCACTGGACAGGAGCTGTGGCCTTGATCACAACAACTGAGCTATTTCTAGGCAAAGAGGATTCAGGACAATGAGCACCTCACTCTCTCCTCATTCTCCAACCTCCTGCTGCTGTCCTCAGTTGGCTGACCCCAGTGGGAAGAAGAGAGAAAACCCACTGATGCACCTCCTGTGGAGAAGGTGGCGGGGGCTGGACATGCAGGGGCTCACAGAGACTGTACTCCTTTTTAGAAAGCAAATGAGCAGACATCTTGTCATGTGTGATGCCTATCTGTTAATACAGCACACTTTTAGATTTTGTTATTCCTAATGACTTTGATACTAGCATCATCAAACTGCCATGTTAATTTAGTGAAAATGAAAGAAGTACAAATTATGTAATCACCTAGAAACAGAATTTACTTTTTAAGTCATATGAACTAAGTAGCTATAGCTTATGAGAGAGTCATCTGATCCCTTCATTTTATAAAGGAGGAATCAGAAGCAAGATTTTCAAGGTGACAGTGTGTGGCAGTGTGGAATTAAAACACAAGACTTCTCATTCCAAGTTTACTGACTTTTTTTCTGTTACTCCACCCTTTGGTAGCCTAGCTCTAAGTGTGTTTTTATGTAATAATTTTCATTTTTAAGCACCTACTACATACCCATCACTTACCCTACAACCCATTATAGGCAGTGTGTCCTGGAGTTAAAAGGATGTATTGGGTACCAGATTTCTGGGATTCAAGTCCTGGCTTCACAATTTCAATCTGTGTATCTTTGGGCAAGTCACTGTTCATCTCTGGCCTCAGTCTCTCCCCTTCTAAAATGGGGAGTATTGTAAGACCCACCTCAAATGGTTGTCGTAAGGATAGATGAGTTCATAAGTTTCAGGTCTGAAGAATGGTAGCTGAATATAGTATATTCTCAATGCATGTGAGCTCTCATTATTCCCAGTTTATAGCTGAAGAAACTGAGGCACAGAAAAGTTAAGTGACTTGCCTTAAAAATCATGTAGCTAGTATGGTAGAAGAGCTGGGATTCCACCCCCAGTAAATGCACTTTTAAACAATTTTTAAAATAAATATGACTTTCATTAATCACGTCAATTACATGTTCTTTTACCTATGCTTCTCTGTGAGTAACAGTGTGAAAATCTAAGTCTGTGTACTCTATTACATTATCAGCCTGAAGCCAGGAGTAACCAGGTAGCTGCCTCTAACTGTCTAAGTTGCTTTGCCTTGCTGGCTCTGGAGTACATGAGTCTGATGGAGGGTGACAGCCTGTTGGAAAGCACGAAGAGCTACTGCCTTCTCCTGCTGAAAAATGATTCTCCCTCAGGAGAAAAATCCATGACAATGATTTCATCCTTGAGATTATTTAGAAGAAAAGGAAGCATGTTCCTTGAAAATGTTTCTTAGCAAACACATAAAAGAATGGCCTCTGGGTTATTTTTAATCAGTGCTTAGAAACAAGAGTTCTTTCCCTATTTGTTAGTTTCCTATTGTTCGTAGACCTTCTCAAGCTGCACAATTTCCAGTACAGAGTCATTTGTATGGTACAGATCGGGCCACAGCCATCCGTAGTATAGTCATGAGTGGATCTATCAGGGGAGGGCTGTTTGATGCCTCTTTCTAAAAGCTATCCTGTCATTTTCAGGTTGTTGGAGTTGGGGAGGGAGGGGACACATTCTGAATTGCACAATGCCCATGGCCATTGCAGAGGACATAGAGTTCTCTCCAAAGTGCCGATAAGATAGTTTATGGAGGCAGTGACTTGTATCTGTTATGCTGTTAGTGGCAGGACATGGACATTTGGGACATACAGTGGCTGGCTACCCTGTTTTTGACTCTTGAGAGTCCTTTCAAGAAGTGAATTATATTAAGAGCATCTGTGGCATTTTCCATGTACATACTGACATCAGTTTATTTATTTGTTTGTTTTGCTATACAGGTATAAGAATGCTGGATGGCATTGTGACAGATGCTATTGAAGCCAGTTCAATTGGATTCAATCCTGGACATGTGGATATTTACAGTGCAAGCTGGGGCCCTAATGATGATGGGAAAACTGTGGAGGGGCCTGGCCGACTAGCGCAGAAGGCTTTTGAATATGGTGTTAAACAGGTGAGATGCTTAACGCAGACCCACCTAAAATGCAACCTAATTATGTGGATATACAGAGAAGGAAAGAACATTTAGGTTACATGGAAAGAAATGGCTGTGCATTTCTTGTAGTTGCTTACAATTTGAAATACATTTAGAGCCAAATCATTCTGCAGAGGGATAGAAGTTAAGGGTTAAGAGATTTTTCCCCATTTGGGTCTGACATTCAACAGAGATTCATTACTCTTAAAACATATATTTAAAAATACTCTGGATTATGTCCTTTCTGCTTTTGAATTTTTACTCTAGATTAAACTACTACCCAGACTTCTTTCAAATGCTCTGAAAATGCATCCTTATATACAGATAGCAGAGGGCTACCTCCCACTCTGCACGTGCCTGGTGAACATGTGTGCCTTGGTTGTATTGCTGTGTCACTGGGTTTGTGGCATTCTTGCCAGGAGTCTAGGCCTTGTTCTGTACAGGATGGAACAACAGTAGAAACTCTGAAGAGCACAGACTGAAGTCATAGAAAGAGTAGCCTTGACGATGAGTTCTGTTTAACTGAAGAGTCCCTTTTAATGCAGCTGCAAAGCAGATCTGAATAATGCCTGATTTTGTCATTCTATTAGTCAACCAAGATTCAATCAGAAAGGAAGAGAGGAAGCTCAAAGATTCAAATGTAGTGACATAAGCCAAGGGAGGAATGAAAAAATATGAGCAAGTGCTAATGGCCAGATTATAAATCTGCATAATAAAGAAAAGAAAGAAAATCATTAGCTCAGCCCCATCCCAGAGTAGTCTCAGATGAAGCACTGGCAGACCCAGAACCCAGTGACTCAATCAGTGACATCTCACGAGACTTCCAGCATTGAGGCTGGAGGACCTAGTCTTGAAATCAGCCTGCAAATAACTGTCCCTGAGAACCTCATGCATGGATTTGTTGGAGATTTTCTTGGGGTGTAACAGTGTCTACAACAGATGGCAATAGATGTTTTATATTTTGGTTTTTCTTTTAGGGGAGACAAGGAAAGGGCTCCATTTTCGTCTGGGCTTCTGGGAATGGGGGGCGTCAGGGAGACAACTGTGACTGTGATGGGTACACAGACAGCATCTACACCATCTCCATCAGCAGTGCCTCACAGCAGGGCCTGTCCCCCTGGTACGCCGAGAAGTGCTCCTCCACGCTGGCCACCTCGTACAGCAGCGGGGACTACACCGACCAGCGGATCGTATGTTGTTTTTGTCTAACTCTCTCTGCTTAGGTAGAAGAGCATGGCTTGCATTCAAAAGAATCTTTTGGTCAGTACCTCTGGTAAAGTTGATTTGTTTAAGCTTGATGTCTCCTTTGGGGAGACTCATCCTTTACTCACTTGAAAGACTGGAATATATTGGGAAGTTTTCTCTCTCTGGGATAATGATGCTTCTGCCAAAATGATATTGCCTCTCGGTCATTTTTAAACTCAGCCCTGAGAAACCACCAATCTGTCACTACATATGGCTAAGACACCAAATGTCTATTCAGCTTGTGTGATGCCTCCCTGAGAACAGCCTTTAGGGAGATTTCAGGGATGAGGGGCTTTATTGCCCTGTACTAGTGGATTCCTTTAGTGGCAGGGATATGGCCTGGCTTGCCCTTTTGCAGATGATAAAAATACAAAGCAGACACCAGCTATGTCTGCTAAGAACAAACCACCTGCAGGAAAATAACAGTCTAAATTTCCCCTGAGGTGAACTTCTCAGCATCCAAATAAGCAGCTCAGAAAGGGTAGATGCTCAGAGAGCATCTCTAGCCCACGCTTGGCTGTGCCTTCGCCTTCATGAGTCAGACTGCCAAGGGTAATTATTGGATTTCCCTTTAAGGACACAATGAGGAAGGGCTATTTGAGGGCTTTAAGAACAGAGAGGTGCTTTTAATTTAAAAATTTAAAGACCCAAACTTAACTTCTGACACAGAAAGAACCAACTAACTAAAGTATGTATATCCTAATTTCAATGAACTAACAGGTCATGATCCCATTAGGTTGTGGGTAAACCCCATAATTATTAGAACTTAAAATGTTTATAAAAGTCATATTAATAGCATCTTAACAAAATTGTCGGAACTACTGTCTTCTTCATACAGGATCACTATTCTGGAGCTCTGCCTGCCTCTCTAACCTACTGTAGTCCAGACAATAAAACTGGGGACCCAAATGAAAAGCACTGGCTTCCTTCCCTCTCATGCCCATATCTTCAATTACACAAATAATAGTGATATTCTACCCAGGGAATCTTTATGGTGGGCGTACTTCATAGCCATAGAAAGGGGCATATCAGATATGTTTCTACCTGTGTTGAGAGCCCCTGGCTGTTGTCCCTGTGGGTGTCCAGAGGTGCTTTGGGGAAAATGGCCTGTTATTATACATTTCGGAGTCACTATTTCATAGGCTATCCCTCATCTGAGCTACTCTGCTCTGAAGGAAGAGGAAGAATTTCTATCTTTGCAAAAGATCCCTCCTTAAGTAAATCCTCCATAGGAGAGACAGCTGGTGGATTCTATTTGAGACAGTGGCAAGAACATAGCCTTTGTCATACGGAAATCTCATCCTCAGCACAGTCATCTCCGGGGGCTTACTTGCGTCAGCAGGTAAAATGGGCAACCTTGCTTCCGCAGCCCTCTGAGGAGCGAGGAGCAGAGCCACTGTAACTTGAGAAATTCAGCGCCTCTAGGTGGGAAGCCAAAGGAGGTGATAACAGAACAAATTATTTTTTTGCACCTCCCTCCCACACATTGAAATGTCTAGCTAAAAACCATAGAGCAGGAGAGCCTGGGTGGGTGTCTTGTTAGTAATCCTTTAGCCCAACTAGCTGTTCAACCACCAGTACTATGGTCTCTAAGGCAGAATGAGTGGAAGTCTTTCTTGGTTTCCTCTTGTCATCTTGGCAACCTCTTCAATTAAGCTATAATTAGCCTTGGTAATTCTTTATGTTCAATAATAGTGTGTAAAAATGCTTTCACAGACAGGATTCATTCCAGCCTCAGAATAAGAGTTAGGAAATGTCAACCTCATTTTACAGATGGGAACCCAAGTGAATTGCCCTTGAGACCCATCTAATGAATAGCAGTGTTAGAATTTGGACCCAGATGGAAGTGCAGTAAACTTTCTGTTTGAAAAACTCATTTTCATGAATGTGCAAATGTGGACACTAACTTTTGGGCATCAAATTATAACAGTGAGTGCAAACTACACACTAAACACATTTTTTACAAGTAGTTCAAGTGACCAAAATCAGAATGGCTTAATATTCTTGTGCTGAAGAGGCAGTCAAATGTCAGTCTGAAAGCAAAAGGAATTTTGCATGAGGCAGAATTTCTAAATATGCCAGGCCACACACAATGGACCTAATGATTAACCGGCCAGCATGATTCACAATGACTTTGAAACAGTCCCTTTTTTCAGACAGCACTTCGTTTGGGAATCTCAGAGGAGAAAATATTCATAGTGAGAGTACTTCATCCCCCGAAAAGGCATCCTGATGCCAGAATTATAGAGAAGTTGCAATATAGAGGAGAGTGAACTAAAATATCAGCAGATGGCAAACATCCATCTGTGGTTTAGAGGAGGAAGTCGGGAATCGAATCAGCTGAGCTTCCTGATCACAGCAGGTGCAGCCTAGGTACAGTTCACCCCCAGGGACGGGCTCACACTCCTTACACATTCTCCTGCCTTTCTCTCCTTCCTGATGCTGCCCAGACGAGCGCTGACCTGCACAACGACTGCACAGAGACCCACACAGGCACCTCGGCCTCGGCACCCCTGGCTGCTGGCATCTTCGCTCTGGCCCTGGAAGCAAAGTAAGGTCCAGAAAGCATCTAGTCACCATTACTAAGACTGCATCTTGTTCTTTTTAATAACATATATTGTTTTCTAAATACATGGTTACAGCAGAAAACTACAAAAAATAATAAAAGTAAGCTCTCTTCCTGTTAACATCTCAGCGTAGATTTAGTACACACATGTATCTTACAAAATTGGGATCTTAATATATACATTATTTTGTAATTTTTTAATCTACCCTATAATATGTTTAGAGCATTTTTCATGTTTAAATCAATGTTTCTTGACCTTCAAAAACTGATGCTCTCCTCCCAATTCTCCTCCCACTCAGCTGCAAAGCCTTCTCACTTCTGTTTATTCCCACCAGGAAAGACTTCACCCAGATCATCTCTTGTGGGTAGTGTTAGGAATGACAAGTTTCTAAAACATCCTTTTTTCATATTATATAAACCGAGTCTTAAAGCTGATATAACATGTCAACTGCTCATGAGGATGTGAGATTTAAGAACAGGATTTTAATCTTTTTGTAGTATTCTATTATATAAATGCAAATTTTAGGGAAGTTATCTAACAGGCTTAAACACCCTTGTCCATAAATGTTGGTTGTTGTCTCTGATAATTTCCTCAGGATAAGCATTCACAGTTGGAATTTCTGGGTCACAGGGCATGTGTGTTTTAATGATTTGATACATATTGACAAGTTACTGTCTATAAAGACTACAGCATTTTATATTTCCATGAGCATTATATGTGTGAAAGTACCATTTTCCTAAACTCATATTAAAGCCACTTTTATTATTCTTTAAAGTATTTGCTACTTTGATACATACAAATGGTATCTCATCTTCGCATACTTTTATTTCTTTACTAATGAAGCTCAATATTTTATATTCTTTGGCCACTTATCATCTGTGATTTCTTATTTATGGCCTTGATTTTGTTCTGTGGCCTTAGTTTAGAAAAGCTGTTAATGTTTGGTTAATTTGAACTTACCTTTTAATTTTATTTATATGTAATTTTTAATGTAATGAAGTTAATATATTCACAGTTATATTTGTCAGTTTTTTCTTTAAGTTTTTTTGTTTGTTTTTACTCTCAGATAAATATTTACAACCCGAAATTAGATGAACATTTATGTATATGTTTTTTGTTATGATTCATTTGCCATATTTAAGTCCTAATCCCCCTGGAATTTACTTTACTGTACGATGTTAAAAAGGGATCTATACCTGGCTGGTGTGGCTCAGTGGACTGAGTGCTGGTCTGCAAACCAAAAGGTCACTGGTTTGATCCCTAGTCAGGGCACATGTCTGGGTTGCTGGCCAGGTCCCTGTTGGGGGCATGCGAGAGGCAACCAATTGATGTTTCTCCCCCTATCTTTCTCTCTCCCTTCTCTCTAAAAAGAAATAAATAAAATCTTCAAAAAATGAGGGATTTAACAACATTTTTTTCCAAATCCAACTGTCTTACACTGTATATCCATAACTTTTTATTCATCCTTATTTCTAGTTTCTAATGTATGGTGAGAAATATTTAAATGTCAAGGCAGGTGCTGTGGTTTCATGATGGGCGAGGTGATTAAACCTGTAGGTTACTATTACTCTTCCTAATAAGGAGGATAGGCTAGAAGAACATCCACGTTCTATAGAGAAGACAAAGCAGCCCCCTCATATCATGTTCAGTAGGTGAGGTTCAGAGTAGCAACAGAAGAACACCTTGGCTCATGCCACAGCTGGAAGAGCCGGGAAGCTGCTCAGCGTTTATTCAAGAGAACCCAGAGTAGCTCCAGGAGCCCTGGGGCCACCTGTGGGTTTATGAGGCAGTCTCTGGTTTCTCAGCTAGAAGATGGCCACAGTGGCTAAGCAAGATAGGCCTAGCAAGGCTCTTACTAAGAGTCTACCTCCTTGGATGGTCTGGAAAGATGTCTGGTAAGGGAACAGGAAACGTGGGAAGAGCTCAGTCAGAAACAGAGGAACACTTAAAACTCTTGGGACCAAGAAAAGAGCTATTTTTAGAATCTGAGTTCACTTGTAACAGGAAGGAGATGGATAGAGGCCAAAGCCTATGAACACAAGCTAAAGCTAAGACGGGCATCAGCAGATCCAAACCTAATTTGAGAAAAAAAAATCATCTAAGCAGTGAAAAGTGCAAGGAACACCTAGCTTCAATTTCTAGGCATGCCACTACTTTGTGACCTTAGGCAAGTTAATTCCCATGTGAGGGTTCGATGTACCATCTATAAAGTGAAGGGGTCAGATCAGATGGTTTGTTTCAAACATTTTCCCTATATAAAATTCTCCAACTTGAAATACGAGGTATCAGCATAAATAGATCATCCAACATGTATTATTGAGGTTGGTGGTGAATGGTTCAGAGTGGAAAAAATAAGGTCCTATGAGGGCAAGTGGTTACACACAGGTGGCATAACAGGCCTACAATATTCATGATTTCAGGGTATAAGCTATTAGCTCCAGGGACCTGTTAAAAGAAAACCATCCTTAAAATATTAAGTCTTTTCTACCTAACACCTATAAGGTACGTGGAAATAGACCTGGCCCATCCTTGTCCAATGACCAGTACAGTAGAAACACCCATCTATGTGAAAAGATGTAATATTAATTTTACGTAAAAATCGAAATTTTAAAATCATAACATCTGCTTTGTAAAATTTTGAACTTCTTTTTCTGTACAAGGAGAAAATTATCTAAGAATGATCTAGCCTTATTCATTGCAGTTCATTTCTAATGGGCTATTTTTAAAGCAGGGGCTCCATCAAGGACTGCTATCAAATATGTGGACGAGTTTCCAGGGGTCCACGAGCTTTTTTAGAACTAGATGTAGAATTGTTTGTGAGTGTATGCACGACATGTTTCAGGGGAACAGTTTGTAGGTTCCGTCAGATTCCCACACTGTTCATAATTTGATACATTAGAGTTTGTGATCTTCCTGGTACACATAATAAGAATTTAATTCCTTTTATTTTGATTTAATAATCAGTATGATGGACATAATCTATCTTAACATTTATATATACATTCTGCCAAAGTACAGAGAGATTATTGAGATGTCTTTTCCCAGATGGACAGTTTTCTAAACTATATTCAATTGTCTATATACCAAGACAATTATTTCAGAAAATCTGAATGCCAGAATTTCTAGAAGTTTCCCTAGTCAGCCAAGACTGGGAGAATCATGTAACTATGTGATGGTCCTCAAGGAACAACTGTGGAGACAGGAGTAAAACTATGGGCTAAATTTATTGAGAATCATAACTCTCAATATTTGTCAGGTTCTTACCATGGACCAGACTCTATGCTAACCTCTCTATATTCTGATTTTAATCCTTACAACATCTTTGTGGCATGTTAATTATTAGTTTCATTTTACCAACAAAGAAACTGAGGCTTAGAGAGGTTGAGAAATGTAACCAACATCCCACGAAAAGATTCAAACTGTGGTGTGTCTGACATCAAAGCCTGTGTTATTAACAACTACACACTCTGCTGCCTCCCGTGGCCTGGTGGAGTAGAAGTGTTGAATGGAAGCCCATCATCCTCTCAGACAAAGAGGAGTTAAAAAGATTGAGACCGATAAAGGAACACCATAATGCTCATGTGTTTATGAGTTCCTCATAAAAGACACCCTGTCACAAGCAAACTACTCTTACTATTTTGCATTAATTATGATTTAGCTGGAGCACTGGGGGATGGGAAGTGGAGAAGAAAGGAGAATTTAGGCTCAAATATTGAGAGAGGAATTTTCTTCCCTAGAACAGTGTTTCTCAAATACCAGCATGAATAATAACCACCTTAGGAGTTTATGTAGTGTGTCAATTCCCAGACCTCACTATTATCAACTCAGATTCAGAATTTTCTGATTATCTGGCCCAGGAATCCCCATTTTAAACATGTATGTTAGGCAGTTTGAATGCTTAACCGAATTTAGAGAAACAGTGCTATAAGGAGTTAATTTACAACTGTTTTTTCCTCTACCTCATGTAGCTGTAATTATAAAGATACCCATTCAGGTACTTAATAGGCATTAAAAAGACAGAAATTCTTTGGACAAATGCCTACGGCACATTATGTAGTGAGTATACATAAGAAAGATGGCAGACAATAACCTCAGTCCTCTGTGGAGAGAGCAAAGGAATCAGAATAATTTTTAATGAGAACACAAATTCTATAGTGAAACACTGAATCCCTTTATATCTTTAAAGATATTAAATAAACAGATGAACCAATTTTCTGTTTTCAGTAAAGGCTGGAGAAAGGAAAATAAACTTTCAGTGAGGCATGAAACCTTTGGGTAAATTACATCAAAGAAATCCTTGACTTAGTGGGTTGTGAAATATTGGAAAGTCTCCAGGTTAGAAAGTCTTCAATATACTGGTCTTACAGTGGTGTGATTAGAGGCTGAACCAGGTAACCTCTAAGATGCTTTCATTTTAGAATTTTTGTTTCCAGGTTACTTTACCTACACTCTCTTCAATTAGAAGCAATGCTTAATTTCAGTGTTTAATTCCACAGTCCTTATTTTCTGTAAACATATCCTTGATTAGCAACCTAATGCACCTTTAAAATTTTTAATTATTGTGGATGCTGTGAGCACTAATTAACAAAGGGAGACTGTCAGCAATGAGATGTACTATTATTAGCAGCTCCTTTCTGTGTATGAAATTCAATCACACAAATGAACAATAACTGTTAGGAAAATGGGCTTAATTTTCCAAATTGCATGGCAATGATGCCCCTTTGAATATGTTGCAAAGAATAGGTAAAGTAACATTAAAAACAATAAAACATGCAATTAAGTGTAAAACAAATGCTCTACTATAGAAATGCAGGAAGGCTAGGCCTTGTGTTTTATTACCAAGACCCTGCCTTATGCCTTCTCAGCGCACTTTCTTGTCCAGCCTCCACACACCTGCTCACACTGACGGTGCAGCTAGGAAAATGGCATGTTGCCCATTGACAACCTTGATAAAAGGCTTGTGCCTAAAACTCCCTTTAAAAGACTGGAAGGGTGCAAGAATTTCAGTAAAATGCTTTATAGTTTAGAATTTATTTGCTACATTAAGAAAATAGCCATTTCTGCTCAGCTAGCTAATTATTCCTGAATGTGGTGGGATGGCCAGTGTGGAGACAAGATCTGTAGTGAGGTATTTACAATATTGGACAGATAGGAGTCTGAATAATAAGGAATTCCAGAGATTACACTCATCCCTCTATTTTCTCATAAATGAATCAACTCAGGCCCAGGGAGATGAAGTGGCTTGCTTAAGGTCACACAGATCTTTGGTAGTAGAATATAGTTTAATATGTCTTTTATTACTCCCTATTCTGACCTCCATGATTTAAGTTAATTTCTAAATGTCTTAGTGATATGCTTGTATTCTTTCTTCCAACTCTTATTTTAGCTCTAGCATAGAACTGGTTAGACAGTTTTTTCAAATATAAATGTAAAACCATGCCCTACCTTCAGATAATTTGATTCAGTAGGTTTAGGATGGGACTCAGGAATTATCAGTACTTACAAGTGTACCAGGTGATTATGGTGCAGTCTGGGACCCATGGGAACCACTGACCCAGAGTCTGTCTAAGGCCTCCGTTGATTTCTCTTTGGGTGATGTGTTCATCAGGAGCTCAGCTGAGCTGAAAGCCTGCTGAGCTGCTAGGTATCACAATAGCCGATTGAAGCAACAAACAAAAAATGAAAGAGTCAAGCCTTTAATTGCTACTGTGATGGTATAAGCCAGAGTCTAAAACAAGAGGAAATCCTGACTCCCCTGATTCATTTCTCCCCAAGGAATAGTACACCAGTCAAGTGTCAAGTGGAGCACCATGTTCATGGGCATCTTCTCACTGTTAAGGGAGCCCCAACAAAAGGCTTTGGTAGTTTTATGGACCCTGGGGTGGGGTGGGGGTTGGAGGAAGGCTAGGAGTGGAGAAGTACTGGGTGGTGGGGTGGGGGGAATTTCCTTAAGGTTTCTCCCACGCCCCCCCATAAGGAGGCCTTAGCAGAGCAGATCACTGCTCAAGGCCTCAGATAAGGAAACCTAAGAATGAAGGCTTGAGGGGCTAGAAATGTACATATGGAGAGAGATTGGCCAAGGAAGGGAGCTGAGTCCTTGACTGCAACTCCCTAGAGAGACCAACTGATGTTTTGTACACCCAGGCAGGTGTGGGGAAGGAGATTCCCTATGAAGCCTGCCAGGTAGCCTTTGCAGTACATATCAGGGGGTGACTTAACCAATATATTACTGGCTCTAGGGAGAAAATAGTAAATTGAGCTATGTTCCCTTAAGGGTTGCTTCACAACATAGTGATAAGATAGAAACCTTGAGGACTAAAGACTCCAGCATTTATTTATTAAATTATGTTTCATTGGCTTAATAGGAACAGTTCAGGTCTCAAAGACAAGGGAAAGCTTGAGATCTTGAAAGACTCTAATGACTACTTATAATAAGTTTTAAAATTATATCTGGGGCTAGTTAACACATAGTCACATTCAATCATTCAATCAACCAATATTTACTCAGCAGATACTCTGTGCCTGGAATTCTTCTGAGTGCTAGGCACACATCAGAGAAAGAGATTGATTAAAATCTTAGCCCTCCTCATGCCTAATCCTAGCAGAGAGACAGACACTAATAATACACAAAACAAATGAATTGCCCAGTATGTCTGAAGGTGATAAATGCTATCTAAAGAAAAAAGTACAGCAGGATCAGAGAGCTCGGGAGCATGTGGGAAGAATTGAAATTTTAAATAGGGTCAGCAGGAAAGGTTCCATATGTATTATAATAGATCCAACAATCCTGTGCACCTCTGCCTTATCTTTATATTGTTGTTAAATTGATTTTATCAAAACTTCTGATTATACCATTTTCTTGCTCAGAATCTCTCGATGATTCCTCATTGCTGCTTTCCTGGCAGTCAAGGCTCTCACTGCCTAGGCCCTTACACCTTGTCTCCTCTCCCTGCTCCAGCAAACCAGACTACCCACTGTACTTAGGCCACATCCTGTACTTTCCCCAGCTCACAGGTTTTGCTCTGTTGCCTCACCCTCTTTTCTCTCCTTCCACCTCTTCACATTCTATCCACTTTTCAAAGTTCAGGTCAGCTATTTCCTTCCAGCAAAGCCTCCCTAGATCTTCCTATCCCAAAAGAATTCTCTCTCCTCTAAACTTCTACAATGCATTATGCTGTAAACACAGCTTTTGATAGCTATATTATAATTACAAAAAAACTTAGTTCTTTTACTGGGTCATAAGCTTCTTAAAAACAATAACCACCTCCTCAAATATCCTTCTAGTATTAAGTACAGTGCCTTGCAAGAGTGATCTCAAGCAGCTAAGAGTTTCTTGACACTTTTGATACATGAAGAAAAAAGACAAAAAGTATTTGAGTAAGAAGCCAGCCCATGTCTTTAAAATCTGAGTCTTCTTAAGAAGGAAATCAAAGCCTACAGCAGAGGACTAGGAGACACAAAAGAAGTGTTACGAGACAGGACACCTGGCCCTGAGTGGGTCAGCCCAGGGCCAGCAAGGAATGTGTGAGTTCTTGACGTCATAATGGAAAACTTTCACAGCTCGAGTCCAGGTGACTGTGAGAGTATGTTTACTGAAGCTGGGGACAGTGAAACAAGGAAGGCCCTGGCATAGAAGAATCAACAGGAGAGCCTAGGCTGAGCTGCCTTATCTCCCTGGGAAGTCAGAGGAAAGGGGACCTTGGAGATAAGTTCACAGAATTAGCCTGGGACAAGCTGTCGCTGCCGATTACTCCCCTGGCTTTAGTCTGGTGGGGACCCTTAGAGTTCAGATGTGTGCCTGTGGGGGAAGGAGAGGAGGAGGGAGAGGGGAAGGGACTGGTGCAGGCTACTCCTCAGAGGGAGAGCATGTCCAGGGTCCTTCATCTTTAGTTTTTATTTCTCTCTTGTAGGTGGGAATCTTAGGGGAGGTTTCAGGGGAAGGTTTCAGTAGAATATTCCTCAGTTCTTCAGGTGTGCCACGGTCTCCACTGATTGGTCATTGCCAAGGAAGGGGGTCTTTGGTCATTGCAGCTGGTCCTGACATCACCCACCAGGTTTTGCTGCTTTTCTAGTCCTGCAGATGAAATACAGCTGAGGCCTAGTTGTTATCTCTAGGGAGGTGAACTTTTGTATCTGGCTGTAAATTTTTTGGCCAGTGTGTTCAGCTATCTGTCTCAGTTTCCCTATTCCACTTGTCCTGGCTTACTAGCCTGTCTCGGAAGTGCTCTCATTTAAAAGTTTTGCTCCAGTTAACTTTAACTAGTTAGAAATCATGAATCAAGGCCTGCATTCCTACAATGCTGAACACAAAATTTTACCCACAGTAAGAACTTAACGTATGTGGTATGGGGAGAAATTTTCCATACCATATTTTGAATTGAATGAAAAGATCTATGAATAGTAACACAAAATAGAATTATACAAGTACAATTACAAAAGGCACTTGATAATTTCTGAATGGAGATGCTTGTTTTTAGCACTTGCTTTTATAAGGAAACTTCATTCTGTCACTGAAAGATATTTTGGATCACTTTCCATCCAGCCCAAATCTCACCTGGCGAGATATGCAGCACTTGGTTGTCTGGACCTCTGAGTATGACCCACTGGCCAATAACCCTGGATGGAAAAAGAATGGAGCAGGCTTGATGGTGAATAGTCGATTTGGATTTGGACTGCTAAATGCCAAAGCTCTGGTGGACTTAGCTGATCCAAGAACCTGGAACAGTGTGCCTGAGAAGAAACAGTGTGTTGTAAAAGATAATGACTTTGAGCCCAGGTAAGTGTCTCAAGAATTTTGAACAAAGAAGCATTCCCATGGCACTATTTGCTATAATGTTTCCCATTTTGACTGATTTTTTTTCTCACCTAACTTTCTGAAGTAGATGGAGGTAGCATTTGCTGGTGTTCCCTGTGGGTCCAAGGGGAATATTGAGATCAAAGATTGCAAATCATATCAGCATATTTGCATTTTCCTCTTGTAGCCAACCTATTATCCAGCATTAGGTTTAAGGTGGCCATTGTTTTATATAGCACTAAGAATAATCATTGCTAATTAAACTATTATCAATCATCAGTTTTAAGATTTATACCAGATTCAGAGATGTTAAAATGTTTAAATATGCATCTTAGAATTGATAAAATACAATGCTTGTCAGCCAATATTATCCAAAACTCAAGAGCCTCACTTCACGCCATAGTGCTGAGTGAATGACTTTTCCCCCATGAAGGAACCTTTATCATACTGCTTTTACATAGACCACATCTGCCCCAACACATCTGGCACAGAAGTAGAATATGCTATGTCTGTTTTGTTGATTCTATCATGACAACCATGACTATACTCAAAATACCCAAGTATGGGAGGTATGGGGACATGCATTAGGAAGATAAAATCATTTTTAAAAAAATTATTTTAAGAGGGCCTATTGCAATAATACACTATTTTTTGATAGGTCCAAGGCAAACCTACTTGAATTTGATTCCACAGTAAATAGCATTTTTTTTCAGGTATCTGTGTTCTTTATCATTTTCTTTTCTTTTTATTTAATTGTGGTAAGTACACTTAACTGGGTTCTCTATTCTGTTCCACTGGGCTATATGTCCGGGTTGGGGTTTTTTCCCCCCCAGTACCATGCTGTTTTGATTATTGTAGCTTTCTAATGTATTTTGAAACTAGGAAGTATGATGCCTTCAGTTTTGCTCTTCTTTCTCAGGATTGGCTTACCTACTTGTGATCTTTTGTGTTTCCATAAAAACTGTAGAATTACTGTTTTTTTTCCTATTTCTTTAAAAACCTTACATCTTCTATGCATTAAAAATATTTACTGCCCTGAACTGGGTTCTACTCATAATAGGGAGACACAAGAAGCCTAGTTGAGATCTAGACAAGGCTGATGTGTACATATTTACAGAAAATGCAAGGAAGAAGAGATATACTTTATTCAGTGATGATTCATTAATATATTTAGAGCCCTGAAAGCTAATGGAGAAGTTATCATTGAGATTCCAACAAGAGCTTGTGAAGGACAGGAAAATGCTATCAAGTCCCTGGAACATGTACAATTTGAAGCAACAATTGAATATTCTCGAAGAGGAGACCTTCATGTCACACTCACCTCTGCTGCTGGTAAAGATTTTTAAAACTTCAAAAATTTCTTTTAAACCATCTATGTAACTTTTTAACTGTAAACTAAATTATTTCAGATGAATGAGTTTGTTTCTTTATAGAATCGTCTCCCAGTAGATATTTTCAGGTCTTAAAATATATGCTGCTGCTGATGCTCTGGCTGGATGGCTCAGTTGATCAGGGCATCATCCCATTCACCAAAAGGCTGTGGGTTTGATTCCTGGTCAGGGTACATACCTAGGTTGCTGGTTTAACCCCTGGTTGGTGCATGTACAGGAGGCAATGGATGGGTGTTTCTCTCTCATATCAGTATTTCCCCCTCCATCTCTCTTATCCTTTCTATAAAATCAATAAAAACATGTTCTCAGGTGAGGATCTATATATGGTGCTTTTTGTTAACATCAGAATTCTGCCCTGCTCATTCCCACTGGTCCTTAGATAAGCAAAGAGTGAGGTCTATTCAAATAACACCTTTAATTAATAAGCCTTTCTGGAGTTTAATTAATACCTTAATACTCATTTTCAAATTGTATTCATTTTCCTAGGTTACTGGTCTGTCATTCTTTTTTCTCAGATAACACGTTAGTGATAACTACTCTGATAAATAATTAATAAAGCTGACAGGTACATAGACACACCCAAGAAATCAACTGAAAAACTGAGAATTCTGATCCATGAAAGAGGGTTGTAAAGACTAACAAATTTTCCATAATGATATGATTAAGGCCATACAATATGATTTTTGGGCATTCACTTTTCCTGAGAGGGTACTAATTCCAATGAGGTCTTGGATGGGAAAGAGCTTGTGAACACAAATCACAATCCAGCCAGGAGGAACTATCCTAACACTTTTATGTTTTTGTAGAATTCAATCTCTGACTAAATTCAATGTCTATAGGTGATATGTGAGGAAAGATGAGCTATCTCTGTAATTTTCTTGGATATGAACTTCTTAGAGGCTTCGAGTAGGGTCTGTTAATTTTGGAGTTACACTTTCCAGATATCTTGGAATTGGCCTGAAATATTGGTGGAATGTCTTTTCACTGATGGCCTTTTCATTTGACCCTTTCACTTAGAAATAGTATTTATTGATCTACAGAAAGTTTGAATTTGGAAACTAGTTTTATTTGATAAAATTATTAAATTAATATAGATTTATTTTTTACATATACAGAAGATTATAGATGCAATTACCTATTAGTTTTCAAAATTTCCAAATTTCCTCTTAAATTTCAAAATGATAGTTGCATTAAATTGTATTTTAGGTCTTTGACTCTTTAATGTATAATAGTTTATAGATGTGGTTCTGAGTTCGCCTTATTCAAATAAACTTTAATATAGTCATTCATTATTTATTTTTCCACATTATTTATTGAGAACATATGTCAGATAATGTGCAAATCCTACAGATAAAAACATTTTTTCTTGTGAATGTCTCTATCCTGGTCTTATACTCAACAGGAAAATTCAGAGGGTTAATCTCTTTTAGCTTTTGTTTTCAGTTATCAGATGCTAGAGTGTGTGCTATCAGAACTGTTAGGACATTTATTAATTTGTGTTTTTTGTATGAAAATAGGAACCACCACTGTTCTGTTGGCTGAAAGAGAGCGGGACACATCTCCTAATGGCTTTAAAAATTGGGACTTCATGTCTGTTCACACGTGGGGCGAGAATCCAATAGGCACCTGGACTTTGCGAGTTGCAGACATGGTAAGGAAGAAGAAAAGGCTACACAATCACAAGCTTAAACACTCTGAGGGAGTTTTAAGGTTGGGGTCATCATTAGTAAGGGCTCCAAGGAACTCTGATTACTCCTTAGTTGAAGTAAGGAAAAGATGTAGTATTTCAAGTCCTACCTAGTTGGCTACGTAGATTAAAAAAAAAAAAAGATTAAGCACTAGCCACAGAAAAAGGAAGAGAAGATACCCTGATCTACAATGTGACAGGCTGTGGGACAAATCCAAGCATTCCCGTGTCAAAACGTAGCCCACCACATGACCTACTCACCAGGATGAGCTATATTCACAAACATGATTAAATGCTAGACCAGCTTTGCTTATGACACTCTGCTGGAGTCACATGAGGGAACTATTACAAATATTTACTGCAGTGGCTATTTAGAAGTAGCTTACTTATTAGACAAGACAGCTTATTTAACATGAGTTTGTCTTGTTTTGCTTCAGTTATGAAACAAAGTAAAACGCATTTCTCTTTCACTCTGTTTACTAACAGTCTATAATTATACCATACAGTCCTAAAAATAAAGCAAGGAGTTGTCTGAGCAAAAAGCCAAATACTTATACAGCTGAATTATTTATTTTTGCAACATTTCACCAGCATTTTCTATAGGTGAGCATATAAATAGAAAGGTTTTTTGGCCTGAGTTCTCCTGAGAGAGATGTGCTATAAATATTAGCAGCAACAGATTTCAATGTCTAAATAACTTTTTTAAAAAGAGATGATTTTAAATTTCTGAAGATGTCAATTAAATTAATATAAATCTTACAGTTATTGTTACTTTTTTCTCTGAGAATAGCTTTCTCCTAAACACAGCTAAAATTGTAATTGAGAAATGGAAGTGGTAAAAATTCCCGCTTTCATAGGGAGAACGAGAAAATGTTATTTGTAGATGAGCCTGTTCATGAACACGGCTTCCATTCTAAGTTTCACCACCAGGAAACTAAGAAAGCCTATTTACCAAGATAAGTCTGCAGAATTTGACTCTATACTTTAAGTACTTTTTTAGATATTTTAGATTTCAGTACATTACTTTTAACTTAGTATTTGAGCCTCTGAAAAGTATTATTCTTCTCGTAATGTACAGTTTTTAAGGGCTAACTAATGTTGAAGGCTATTGGTAATTCTCTGTAGAGGCTGACTTTTATTCCCCAATGGAATGTTTCCACAAGTTGGTAATTGGTAAATATAATTCTGTTTATAGAAGGTACAGTCAAATTTTCAAGAACACACCCCATATAGAAAAGGAGGTTAGTCCTGGCTGGTGTGGCTCAGTGGATTGAGAGCTGGCCTGTGAACCACAAGGTTACCAGTTCAATTCCCAGTCACAGCACATGCCTGTTTTATGGGCCAGGTCCCCAGTACGGGGGGCATGAGAGAGGCAAACACACATTGATGTTTCTCTCCCTCTCTGTCTCTCTCCCTCCTCCTCTCTCTAAAAATAAATAAGTAAAATCTTTTTTGAAAAAAAAAGGAGTTTGATATAGTTCTGCTTTTCTAATTTTTAAATTTAAAAAATTTGTATTGTTGTTCAATTACAGTTGTCCCCATTTTCCCCAGTTGTTCTCCCCAGCCCCACCCATTCCTGCCCCTGAGAGTTCTGATTTTTTAATTAAATAAAGCGATCAATTGTTTTTTGAATCCTCAAGCCTGTAAGCTGTCAATTTTTATATCAGTGTTGAATCCAGTGATTTCTTTATTTTCCCTTTTTTCTTTTATTATTTTCTTTTTAAAAATCCTCTCCTGAGGATATTATTTATTGATTTTAGAGACAGAGGGAAGGGGAGAGGGACAGGGAGAGGGAAAGGAGGAGGGAGAGAGAGAGAGAGAGACATCGATATGAGAGAGAAACGTCAATCGGTTGCTCCTGTACATGCCCCAAATGGGGAGGGAACCTGCAACCTAGGCATGTGCCCTGACGAGGGATTGAACCCACAACCTTTTGGTATATGAAATGACACTCCAACCAACTGAGCCACTGGGCAGGGCTCTTTTATTTTATTTTTTTTTTAATTTTTTCTTTTGTCTTATTGGGGTGATATTCTTAATATAATTCCATAGGTTTCAGGTGTGCAATTCTCTAATACATCATCTGTATGTTGTATTGTGAGTTCACCACCCCAAGTTAAGTCTCCTTCCATCACCATGTATCCCCCTCTCCAGTTATTTATTTCTTTTTACACAGAGCTCTACACATGGAATGCACAGAAATTTTAAATTAGATTTTAACTCTAAAATCCTTTATAGATATTTTGAAGGAGCTTGTTTTATGATACTCAGAACACACACTAAAGTTATGTATGCTTATCCATCAGTCTGGGAGAATGCAAAACGAAGGGAGAATTGTGAGCTGGAAGCTGATTTTGCATGGGACCTCCTCTCAGCCAGAGCACATGAAGCAGCCTCGTGTGTACACCTCCTACAACACAGTGCAGAATGACAGAAGAGGGGTGGAGAAGATGACGGAGTCAGGGGAGGTCTGTGTGGCTACATTCTTCTTGGCATGCTTTTTTTTTTGAACTGTAGATTGACAATGTGGTGAGTGAAGCTGCCTCTAACTTTTCGGAGGGGAGTGAGTTAAACATGAGTACGGAAGAAAGGGAGTGGGTGTGGTAAGTTATTTTCTATAGGATGAAACTCTACTGTTTTATTCATTTATTAATTCATCTAGAATTTAGAAATTAAAGCTAATCAATTCAAAATTATTAAATTCCTAACTTAAACTCCACTTAATCAAAGTGAAGGATACCAATAAGTATGAGCACTTAACCTAATTTTAGTCTTCAAATCCACCAGAAACAGAGGCATTCTTATTCCCATTTTACAAGTGAAGTTAAAGACAATTTAAAAAGTGCCCTAGGTACCTGAGTTAGTATGACTCTAAGCCTCACATTCTCTCTGCCCTTCGACTGCCTCTCAAGGGGAAGCAGGGGCAGGAGCTGCAGTGGGCCTGCCCAGCACTGAAAATGAGCCTTCTTCCCTTTGTTGGTGGATTTCTGTGTTTTAGGAGCAGCCCTTGGAAGAGAGCCTGAAGAAAAACCCCCTGACTGCAAAAAGCGGCAGCAGCAGCGGTGGTGTGGGAAACAGAAGGGACGAGCTGGCGGAGGGTGCCCCCTCCCAGGCCATGCTGCGACTCCTACAAAGTGCTTTCAGCAAAAACTCACCACCAAAGCAATCACCAACCAAGTCTCCAAGTGCAAAGGTCAACATCCCTTATGAAAATTTCTACAAAGCCCTGGAAAAGCTGAACAAACCTTCCCAGCTTAAAGACACTGAGGACAGTCTATATAACGACTACGTTGACGTTTTCTATAACACCAAACCTTATAAGCACAGAGATGACCGCCTGCTGCAAGCTCTGGTGGACATTCTGAAGGAGGAAAATTAAAATAAGTCTGTGGTCCTGAGTTGGAAATATTCATGCTTCTTCCCCTTAGATTTTGCCTGTGCCTGAGGTAGTTGTTTTTGTCATTGATTCTTATGCTTATAATATCCTTGGTGATACTTTTCCTTTTTTTCCCCAAACTGGACATTTGAAAGAGATGGCCTCATATAGTAAATCCAGCTTCCTGAATGGATTGGAGCTCTTTCAAAGCATCTCTTCTCTGCTGACACAAGTAAAGTGTTTGTTCTTTCTAGAGCCACAGTTCACCCATGGTCCTCAAACCACTTTAGACCAGCTTCTTGGTCCCTCCCATTTCATCTCTCAAAAGAAAAGTCATAAGCTGGGCAACAGATTAATTTAAAAAGTAATCTGCAAGGAACGAGAGGAAGGAAAGTGTTCTGGTAACTGTCCTCTGTCTTTGCCCTGTGGTTTTTTGAATTTTTAAAAAAGATTTTATTTATTTATTTTTAGAGAGAGAAGGGAGGGAGATAGAGAGAAACAGCAATGTGCAGTTGCTGGGGGTCATGGCCTGCAACCCAGGCATGTACCCTGACTGGGAATTGAACCTGCAACACTTTGGTTCGCAGCCCGCACTCAATCCACTGAGCTATGCCAGGCAGGGCTGGTTTTTTGAATTTTGATGCCACAGAAGACTCTGGAAAGTTTCTGATGAAAGAGTTCACAATTAGACCCAGACCCTATCTTTTCTAATCCCAAGTACTACTGATTCAGGGCATGACCATCTGGTCATTTGGTAGGAGGGGAAGCTAGGTTACTTAGATCCATAAACAGGCATCATAGTCTGTGTTACCTGGTTTGAGAGGTGTTGGAACATCCCTTGCCTGGCGTGCCACGTGGCAGGCCTCCGTGGGCCTGATGGTGACTGCAGTTCACCCTCTATGCTCTGGTCTTCCTGTTTCCCCTTCTCATGGTTCTCCTCACTCATCTTAGCCACAGACTATTAATAAATACTGAGAAAATTAATTTACACTATGTTCTTAGAACAAACTTACACTTGGTACTTGGCTAAGTCCTAGCCATAATTTTTTTTTTTAGCAATAGTAACAGAAAGCCACTCATAACACAGAGAACCAACCTAATAACAGGAAAATATTCATATGAGAAGAGCCAGTAGGAGGTGGTGTTTGTTTTTAAAATTGTATTCATTAGAATAGGTCTTTCAGGATCTTTGAAACTAAGTGAACATTCCTTGACACTAAAGGCTGAATAGTATCCAAATTCTCATCAAATTGCTTTCAAGATTTGACTCAGACAGAGGACACAAGTTGGCAGCCCACAGACCCCATTTGTTCTTCAGGTAGATTTTGTCTGGCATGTAAAATGTTTTTAAAATGTGAGTGATCATTGAAAATAAAAGATTTCACATAAAACCTAATTCACAGGCCCATCTTCCCTTGTGGTGACAGTTGCTTGGAGCTAAGTAGCAGCTGCCCGGCTAGACTTGAATGCCCAGTCCCCAAGGTGCTCTGCTCTGTGCTGCTTGCAGCAGCCACCTCCCTGGTGAGCGCTCAATCGGCATTTTATTTTGCCCGCTGTTGCACTCAATGAATATGTTCAAAGTGTAAATGCATTAAAAAAATATTCAACTTTTTTCAGACAGGATATGAGTGGTAATAATTATGACACTTTTCCATGACTTAATTAATTTATTGGCCCCCAAAATGGTATTTTAATCTCCTGAAAGTACCTCTGATACTAGTTTGACATGTTCATTTAATCTCACCAGCCCTGGATGTCCATTTCTCCTAATTTGTTACTGCCAACCCACAATCTGCCCACTCTCCCTATGCTCACAAAAGCTCTAGTCACCTGCGGTGGCATTCTCCCATTGGGTGTGCTGTTTGCAATTCCTCCATGAAGTCTCAGCTTTATCAGGCTACACATAAACTAGACTAAGAAGAGAACACTAGAGTCTGTCACTTGCTTTGGTTTGAAATGTGGTTAGTAAGACAAAATTTCACCCCCTATTCTACCATATGAATTTGTGCAGAATAAGGGTAATTCCAGAGCAATACCCATAAAGCTTTCAGAATGTTCTCCTAAAAGAACTGTAGTGTCACATTGTTCTTGAAAGTTTCCCATGCTGTTTGGTATGGAGTGTTAGATAGAATTTTGAAAATTGCGGCACATCAAAAGTGTTAAAGCTGAAAACGACCAGGGAGTTATGAGACAAACTTTCAACTAAAAACAAAGCTAAGGCCTAGAGAGCCCAATAAAAATAATAAATGAAAACTCATCCTTTCCTCATTCCTAGCCTAGTGCTAGGAATTGTCTGAAGCTTTCTTTTTCATTCTTCTAACAATATCTTTTCCTGGTTAAAACCCCAAACAGTTCATTGGATTGTAGCCAAAGGTTCACCCTAGAGAAGCTTTAATATTTAAATAAAGTCACATTTGAATGTTTCCAACCTGGAGTATATTGTTCAGACAAAAAAATATTTTTGTCAGTCTTTCTTAGTGCCTGTGTGAATTTTTGTGAAAATGTAAAAGAGAAAAATTATATAATATTTCCCTCAAAATTTTAAACTATATTTTCTTTACAGGTATTTATAATGTACCAATGCTTTTATCAAACAATTTTAAAAGGCATAATAAATTAATTATATTCAAGAACCAAAATTTTCATGAGAATAAGAAAGTTTCATCCAATAAAATATTTTTTGAAAGGCATGTTCTTCTGTCAGTAAAAAAAAAAGTATAATATGTATGTATTGTATTAAAGCGAAATTTATCTAATAGCCCAGTATAATGTATAGCTGAGTTTAACACATGTGGTTTTAGCATTCTTAAGGGAACTCTCACATTATACATTTGATGTATTAATCAGTGTATGTAAAATATGCTTATAAATCAGAAGAATAAATGATTTATCACTAAATCAAAAAGGAAAAAGCTCATGTTTCCAACAAAAATAGGCTCTCCTCTTACTTATTGTGTTTTCCAAATGAACTGTCAAAAAGAAAATTTGAAAGTTTACACTAAGAAGTTAAATCCTTTTTAGAAAAATGTGAAACACAAATTCAAAAGAATATAAGCCCCTATGTTCATTGCAACATAATTTACAATTGCTAACATTTGGAAGCAGCCCAAGTTCCATCAGCAGATAAGTGGATAAAACAACTATGGCACATTTACACAATGGAATACTACTCAGTCGTAAAAAAATAAAATTTTACCTTTTGCAACCTTATGGATGGACCTGGAGAACATTATGCTGAGTGAAATAAACAAGTCAGAGAAAGACAAATACCATGTGATTTCACTCATATGTGGAATCTAATGAGGAAACTGAACTAACAAGCAAAATAGAGATGGACTCAGAGAGCAGGATGACAGCTCTGATGCGGGGGGAGTGGCTAGCCATTGGAGGGATTGAGCAAAAATGAGAAAGGACTCGTGGGCATGGACTACAGTGTGGTGATTACTGGGGGGAGGGAGTATAAGGGGACTAAATGGTAATGGAAAAGATTCAATAAAATAAATTTAAAAAGAAAAATGGCTGCAAACCAGTGTTGCAGGTTCGATTCCCAGTCAGGGTACATGCCTAGGTTGCAGGCCATGACCCCCAGCAACTGCACATTGATGTCTCTCTCTCTCTCTATCTCCCTCTCTTCCCTCTCTAAAAATAAATAATAAAATCTTTAAAAAAAGATTAGCTTTAAAAAAAAAGAAAAATGGGCTTTTTAAAAGGCAATTTAAGAATTACTTGAATAGGTATATTTTATTCTTCCTAATAGCTCAGTCTTTTACTTATTGACAGCATAAAAAGTATGACAGAGCCTTCACTGAAGTGTTGAGAAAAAAAAACCCTAAAGGAACTGACTACAAGTGAGAGAAACGATTTGCAACAGTTCACTAAACATGACTGTTTACAGGCCAGGTCACAGCAGCTCAGCACTAAATCCTCCTGGGAAGGCCCTCATCAGAAGCCTCAGTTCCCGTTGTTGACACCTGCCCTCAGGCCTATTTTTCTCTCTTGCTTCAAACCTCCATCCCCGGACTTCCCACCTACCTTTTCAGAATTTTACCTTCCTACCCAGGGTTGGTGGTTTCCCTTCAAACTCTGTTCTTTCTCCTAAGTCATTATTCACTCAAACTAAAATATTTTCTCAAGAATTCCAGAAAGACTGTTCTAAGCAGCCTTTATCCTCCACATCTAGCCATTTTCAAAGCCATCCCACCAGAATGGTTCAAGATATGTCTGTTTTTCTTGAATGCCTGTTTGGTAATGGTTGGATAAATCATGTGCAAACTTTGAGTACAAACACAAACACACACATGTTCCAAGGATGCATATTAATTCTTTTTTAATTCTTAAATACAAATTTAAACACATAGGGGAAAGAGTAGTTTTGTAACTGCCTCATAATTTTGTAAGGTTATAGCACTAATATACATGATAACAATTATTCACTCCACTCCCCCTGCCCCTGTGGAAGAGTGTACTTTCCCGGCCCACTGATGTTGAGCTTGACCCTGTGATTTGCTTTGGTCAGTGGAATGTTAGTGGATGTGATGCAAGCAAGGGCTTTAAATGGGCTTGTACATTTTGGCTTGGCTCTTGTTTTCAGTGATCCTGGGCTATGTGAGGAGTATGCCCAGGTAATCACTGCCCCTTAAGCCTGTTTCTAGAACAAATGTATATGCTGCAGATCCACATTCTGAACCTAGCCACCTTACAGCGTGAAATAGGGCTGTCCAGGTAAGTGCAGCCTAAATAAGCTGAACTTGTTATCTTGCCAGTTAATAAGAGTGAGAACAAATGCATTGTTAGCACCTGAGTGTTGAGGTGTTTTGTTAGCCTCACTATGTCAACAAAACTGTCTAAAAAATAAAAGTTCCATTTTTTTCATTCCACTACCAATACCACCCCTTTCAAATTATACCTTGTTGAGAGCCTAGAATACAAAAAAAAAAAAAAAAGAGGAGCCAGTGTTAAATCATACACCTCTTACTGCTGATCTTATAGCTAAACAAAGACCCTGCCCAGACTTTGAAATTTCTATTTTTAAAGGTATATCTTAGCTTAGTTCCTCCTGTAAGCAGAGTCTCAGGTTATGAATGACTTGCATACAGGCAATCTATTTAGAAAGTAATAGTGGAGAGCAGAAGTGGTTCACATATGCACATGAGTAGCCTGGAGTAACATTGATCAGCACAAAACTTAAGAAAAACTAGAATGAGTATTCCACCTAATGATGGCATTCATAGATAATAACTCAGAAAAGTCATGCTTTCCTCATTCTCCCCTCTCTACCCCATCCAAAGCTGTGATACTTCCATTAGCTACTCTCAGAAGTTAGATGCAACCCTAGGGCAAGGGAAGAAACTTGGCTGATAGCAAGTTCACAACATTTATTAGAAAGGCAACTTTTAACAGAAACAAAGTTCTGTTATTAAAATAAAAAAAAGCCCTTGCTGGTGCAGCTCAGTGGATTGAGTACCAGCCTACAAACCAAAGTGTTGCAGGTTCGATGCCCAGTGAGGGCACAAGCCTGGGTTGAGGGCCAGTTCTCCAGTAGGGGGTGTGTGAGAGGCAACCACACATTGATGTTTCTCTCCCTCTCTTTTTCCCTCCCTTCCCCTATTTCTAAAAATAAATAAATAAAAATTTTTAAAAATTAAAAAATGAAGCAATTTTGCCTACCTGAGTTTTGGCTTCCAATTTGTATATTTATACAATGTGTAGTGCCTGTGTGTTGTTACACATAGATATTATATAAGCACGGCTCTGTCATCAATGGATAGACAAGGAGGTGACTACAGTCATCACAAAATGCTTCTGGGATAGTGTAAATTTTGAACCAAAATTTTTAAGATAAGGGGGACTTGTAATGAAAGAGAAATGTATGGGTTGTTTCAAGTTCTCTTGTCAGAGGGAACCGGAATGAAGAAAGCCCACCTGGGAGAGCGTATGCACTCCACAGAGTTCCAACGGGCGGGCGGAATGAGCCCAGCTTGTTTGTCTGAACATCCACTCCCTGGCTCTGGCCGTAATTTACCAGCATTCATTCACTAAGCCTTCATGACATGAATGAATGGCCCTAAAGCCCGCTGCAGTCTTGGCATAGTGCTATTTTTACTTACAGAGGTGAAAAACACGCAAGATTTAGGCTTATCGGTTGATATAAATTATATTGTTCCAAACATTAAAGAGGAAAAACATTCTGAAAATGTAACAGCAACAAAAAGTGGAGAAAGTTGTGGGTTCTTGAATCAGCCCCAAGTCAATGTGAGTCCTGGTTCTACCATCTCTTACCTGTGTGCCCTTGAGCAGCTCACGTCACCTCTGGGGCCTTATTTCCTCATCTAGAGCAGTGATGTCTACCATTAGTAGGTTTGCTGTGATGATTACATAAGATAATGCAAGTAAATAACTTATGATTATGGTAATTTAGGGTATGGTTTCTGCACCTAGTAAATAATCAATAAATGTTAGTTTTTATTATTAGTGAGATTGTTGATGTTGTTATGTTGTAAAAATAAAATGGAATTTAGAGCCAAGCAGATTTGAATAGGTAGCTCTTATCTGCAAATTCAATAAAGGAGAAAATATTATACTCAATGAAGAAGATGGAAATACCATAAGCTGTCACTAGTCAAGATGGTGCTGCCTTGGGAATCGTTCCAACGTGAACCTTCTTCTCCTAAGGCCGCACAGGAAAGCATTTCAGTGTAGCTCACGTAGACTAGACTCAGCGAGGCAGGAATGCTCAAAGTGACAGCTGAGACTCAAAGAGCAGTCACCTGGGGCCAAGGAATGCCAGAGGTGGTGAGTAAAGAGAAAGATGATAAAAAAGAAAGTCATTTGTTTGGTTTTGTCTTACTTCCAAACACTTTTTTTGTTGGAGTATGATTTTTCAAATGCAAACATTTTATAAAGCATTAAGAAATGTTGATATTAACAACAATGAAAAACGAGTGCTTAAGTATATCCACAGCACCATGTACAATTTAATTAAATTCTCAGGAGAACTATAAAAAAATAAGAAATAAATAATATTAGTGTCTCAATTTATATATTAGAAAGTTGAGGCAGTGAGAGGTAATATGTTTTGTTCAAGGTCAGACAGCACATCACAGAGTTGAGATCTTTAAACTGGCAGTTATTCTAGAACCCAGGCTATGCTTTATATTAACAAGATGAAAAAATGACATAATGTTAGAAGATATTTACAGTGTGGGAATCAAATGAGTACTGTTTATCTTATACTACCAATTCTTTTCTGCTCATGGCAATAACAGAAATAGTTTTTATTAACTGAATATTTACTACATATTAAGCATACATATTTTTCACAATGATGAGATAATAATTCATGAGAATATGTTATTTCTAATGCTTGCATTATTCTGCAAGTGAAGTGTTTCTTTACAGATATGGTAACTGAGGTTCAGAGAAGTTAAGTCAGTTGCCCAAGGTCACACAGCTAAGCCAGGATTGTAAAACTAATCTATCTGACCCCATCTTTTCATTATGTCACTCCCTCACTTTTTAGCTTCAATTTCAAATTTTTTAAACTTATATCTTATTAGGTAATCTCATACTTCCAGGAACAACAAAATGGATTTTATACCGCTTCTGTACTTCAAATTTTGGAGTTTAAAAGTAAGAGAGGCAGTTGTCTTCATCGGTCATCACTGCTTGATTATCTTGAAATGCACAAAAGCTCTTCTCTTAAGGGAGCAACAGGCCAACCCAAAAGCTCAGACAGCCTTTGGATTGGTAATCAGCCCCATATGAATTTGTGTGTTCTGCAGACTCAGGGCTGCCAAAACATATTGAGAGTAGGACACTGCAGTGTGGGCACCAACCGCAGGAGTTTTCTACAATTCTGGGCCATTTTATTTCTCTCCCCACTGCTTGGCTTTCCTGCCTGATGCCAATATGTCTTCTTCTTCTTTTTAAATTTCCCAAAGTGTGTTCTTCATCATACCAATTAGTGGTGTGTATATGTGTGTGGACAAGGGTTCCCTGTTCATGTACATTTGTCAAACACATAATGAAGAATTGAGTTTTTCATATTTTTTCACTATGGTTCTTAGAAGTTCCTTTAATATTCCAGTGTACATTGTGACT